ATTAGGAGTTTAATAAAAAAAAAATGACTGACAAAACTAGCAAGTAAGACCTTAAAACGGAAGGTTTTCCTTAAGTCAATGAGGAGTGCAAGTTTGTCTGCTTCTTGCACAGGGGTTGCGTGACGTCAAAACGCCGAGCTCTTATTGGCTGATTAAAAAAAATACTGGGTATATCCACCTAGCATGAGGTCTACCCACTATCATTTCAATCAAAACCAATCAGAGCTCAGCATCGTCCTGAAGTCACCGCATCTCCTGTGCAAGAAGCAGACGACTTGCTCTTCGTATTGCTTGGATGCGTTCTAGCACAATGGTTTAGAACTTGTTTTACACAGCAGGACATCCCCACTGTTCTCCTTGGCCCCCTGCCCACTTGCTGTTTGGGTGCCAGCAGGTGTATTTGCCACGCACATCATTTACAAGAAACTCTAGAGATGATCGAGCCAACCAATTATCGCTTTCATATGTTACGTTTACGACACGAATAAGGAACGCGGAAGCAGTCTCAGCAAAAGCACTCACCCCAAACACGCAAAAATAAATATATATTATGCCAAACGTATAATTTTATAGAGCATAGTTATGGCTTTCCCAAGAAATTAGATGATATGTGAACAAATGCCAGCAAGCTCTTATGCACATTTATATACCATAAGGTCCTGAAAGAATGCCCACCCAAAATGAAAAGGTAAATAATGTTTGTGTGTGTGTGCATGTGCGTGCGTGTTTGTGGGGGGGGGGGGGCACTACAAGCTATGTGAAATGGGACCTCTTCAACTTCAAAATTTCTCAACTTTTCTCTCAACACAGTCTCGGGTTTTAAACATCCTGATTAGCTATCACCAGCTCGCCTGCGCACTCACTGTCTTTTCGTTACTGATACATATCGCAGACACGGCAAACTGGCGTGTGCAATAAGTATGTGGGAATTCGTAGGAACTCCCCTGTCACGGGTACGGCAGCAGAACGCGGATGCAGCGCATTCGCGCTTCACAGTGCGATATAGACGCAAGAACTCGGCCCCCTCAAACTCAGGTGTCAAAGGAACCGATATCGCGCGCAAAAACAACAGACAAAAAAAAAAAAAAGCGGGAACGAATTTGGAATTTGCAAGTTGTGGGAAGGGATGCCCCGCATAGCACGGATGTTGCAGATTCGCGTGTCATGGTGGGATAAGCACAAGGCAACCCGCGGCGAGCACGCTTGTCGAGTACCGATACCGCAAATCACGCAATAGATAAAATAATAATAAAAAAAACAAAAACAGGATGTGTGATTTTTGGGGGGCGGGCGTTTGTATGAGACTTTACGGCGATTTAATGCATGTGTGTCATATTTCGAATACACTCAGTCATGCTCAATGCCACTGTACGCAAAAAAAAAAAAAAAGATTAAGCGAATGACGAAACGATGCATCGAAGCATCGTCTCGTCGTTTGTCAGAGTTCATATGAGTACTCTGACAAAGCGACCTGTGCATGTGCCATTTTCGGAGATCAGGCTTCCACTCTGTTGACATGACCACATCGGTATGGTGGTTTCAAAGCAATAGGGCCTTTTAGCAAACCGTTACCGCATATCGCGCACTACCGGAGTTTCTGAAACATGCTTTTAAGCGCGCGTCCCGCGGTCGCAGTATCACTCGGGCGCATGCTTCAAAGGCTCCGATAGTGCACGGTACGCGGCAACAGTTTGCTAAAAGTCCCTATTTTTTTTTCGAAATTACCTAAACAAATACAACACGGTAAACCACTGTAGCCAATAAAAAAAGAGTACTCCAATTAAATATAACCTTCAAAAAAAAAACTTGTTCGGTTGGTTTTGGCGCAACATGTGCTTTGGGAGCGGGATGGCGCAGCAAAAGTGGATTGGTGCACAATGGCGCAATTGGCTCAGCGCTTCCACCCCTGAACTACTAATCCAGAGGGAGCCAGACGTTTAGGTTTATAAATAAATAATGGAACGGAGCGAGTTCGCTTCAGTTTGCTGCCGGCTTGATGAGTGACTTTCTCTACAGTATTGATCGCCAATTGTGTCCGCTCCGTACTAAGCACCAAAATGACGGCGTCCACAAGAGAATTTAGGAATGGAGTGCCTATACTTAAAGCGTACCTAATTGAGTGGCTCTAGTTCTTGTTACGTGCGAGAAGCGCTTGTATTTCATTTTTCGGTACCGCCTGTTGCTATACGACCTGCAGAAATCATACTAGTAATTATAACTATTAAATACTTCCCAACATCCGCTCCACTGTGCTTTAACCGTGATGCCCGGCGTTTGTGCCTGCCCCTGCAAGAGCGGTCAATTGAACAGGTCCGCAGGGAGCCTCCTTTCAGAACTCTTGTTAGACTATACCACCACCCCATTCATTGTTAAAAGTAGTGTGAGTGCAACCTTTATGTTTTCAATATGGCTCAGCTGCACGAGTGAGGGCGCCCGTCAGGACCATGAGCTTGTGCTCGCGACCCTAAATCCCCCTTCTACTTTATGCTGCAACGGAATGTAGACAGTCCATATTTCAAACCACACTGAGACTCTCGAACCTGAACTCATTACTCAGCCAGTGGGGGATACAAGTTACGAAGTCAACTGGAGGAGAAACGCTACTCAGGGTTCATCTTGAGGAGCGTCTCACTCACGAAACTTCCCCCAGAAGATTGCAATAATATCTAGGATATTGATACTTGATCGCTGTCCATGCTTTCGAAGGCCAAAAACATTTCATGGCACACACCATGTAAAACCAGCTGCTGTTGATCTCAGGCCACTGGCTCACTGGCCATGCATGTTGTCGACTCAATCCAGTTTTGCTCAAGCCTGGGTCGCTGTGGTTTTGTGAAACACTCAGGATCCCGAAGGGCTACTGTTCAACAGTTTATATAAAGTTTTCCAAAACTGCATCGACAAACGACGGTGATTGAGCACGAAATGTGCTCCACAGATGGTAGCTTTCCAGGCTTGACAATGCTGTAGGCAGGTGATGTAAGATGGCCAACCGGTGGCCGCATTTGGGAAACACATTTTCTGAATCAGCGATCCACAAAATCTTCATAGAGATGAGTGGTCTTTGTCCTTAACACTCCCGTTCTCACCTCAAACAGCAAAGAACTCAACATGTATTACTTTTTTATGTCTTTGTTTTTGTAACCTGCCCATCGTTAAAGCCGATTTTTTTTTTTTCATTTTCTTTTTATTCCTTTTTTGCTCCCTTTTTCACTGGACTGGTCTGCTCAGCCCAAACACTAATGTATGGGTACTTAAAGGGATACGGAATCGAAACTTGAAATATAGAGAAAACATCAAGAAATGAGTTCAATATGATCAGCTAAGCCTGTAATGAATAATCGCACGGTCGTATTTTGAGCAGATGGCTATATTTTATGCTCTAAATGCCGCGATTTTGGCGAGCACTTCAAAATCAGCCATGGAGGAGCGCGATGCATCTCGGGAGATCCGGCAGACGTCTTGACGTCATCATGCCTCGGACGACCAAGCGTACCGTAGTGACGAGTTTTGCCACTTGGAGGCGTCAACGCGTTACAATCTCGCTTTGTCGAAGTACCCAAGGGCTGTAGATATCGCGGGGCCAGCACGCGCACCAAACCTGAGAACAACCGAAGCACGCGTTTGCACGTCGCGCGAGAGCTGAAACCAAGGTGGCTCACTTCGTTTTGGCTCTTTCCATCAAGACGCCTCAGTATTGCGTTCAGGCCTAGGCAATCTATACCAGTGAGCGGACATACCGCTGCGGCGCTGCTTTCAGAGGCATGTTGTCGTCACGACATTCCATTGAAGCTTCATAACCAACTACCAGGTGGTTTTTGATTATCGTTTAATTCACTTCAAAATATGTTTTCTTGCGTTTTCTAGCGCAATATTTATGTTTGTGTGGTTGTGCTGCTACCTGCGTCGTGTTGAAACAAAGAAATGAGCTCCAGAATTTGGTTTCCGTACCCCTTTAAATGTCAGCCTTCAGGTTCAGTTCAGTCATTTTGTGTTTAAATTTTTCCTGTATAAATACTTGAATACTTCCTGTGCCCACAGGGCATCATCCATTTTAGTTAACCTTTCTTCAAATTTCAATAGTGACTGCCTCCCTGCTCTTAAAGGACGATCAGCCCATGTCCCCCTGCACTCACTCATTTGGCGTGTTCCTGTGCGCTCCCACTGCTAACCTGCCAAAGCTCCTTTGTCAAATTTCCAGTACTGATACCTCTGATCTCATATACAGTACCCCATTGCTTATTCCATATACCCCACTTATTATAATTCCATAATGCCTAGAGTTTCATGATACCTGAACTTCTTTTCTCTTTTCTAATTATATTTTATTCATGTTCCTCTAGGTATTTCCTTCCCCCTTTGAGCCATACTCCCAGATATTTGTATCTTTTCTACATAGACTATTTCACTGTCTTGTATTTTCAGGGGATCCCTCCAAAACCGCACCAGGACTGGCCGCATGCCAGTTTTGGAGCTGTTGCCAACTCGCGCAGCCTGCAGTGCAGCAGGTTACCAAGAAAACTCACAGATATCAATTGTGTTTCTTAACATCTGGATATTTGAAATAACAATGGTGCACTACTGCTCAAACCCCATTGCCATTTCGGGTTGCAAAAATGTAACATGAACATATGTCACCGGACAGAATAAAACAAAACAGAAGTAAAAAGTGCAATGCCCAATCCTCTTTGCAAGTTGCAGGGAAAAACCACTGGCATAATCATCAGTCCAAAACATGGCAGCACGCAAAACTGTAAACGACTTAATTTTCACAAATTCCCGAACTTAAAAAATAAAACTTCATCATGTGAATATATCACTGCATGGTAACAATCTCATTGCATACCATCTTTAATCGCACAATTTTGTGCCTGCAAAATAGTTACAAAAGCCACACTTTACAAAATTTCAAAACATCAAGCCCACCAACATAAAGTATAAGTTTACAACATGTTGTTACCCATGCTAGTTCCCAAATACGAACATTATAGTGAACTTACCGTTCAACGTTGAGGACGTCCACAGGCAACTCTCGTAAGATGTGATTCAACGTCTCTTGGCTTATAAAAACGAGGTCATCAGACGGTGTCAGTACCTCAGTGTCACTCTCCAGCTGAAATGAGGTATGGGCAACCGTGTCACAACCAGCTCCATCTATTGGTCCTTATATTCAGAAAACACAAACATTCTCAACTACAACAGACGAGTCAGTATGAACAGCATTCCCACAACAAAGCCCTCCAAGAGACGTAGGGTAATGAGAAATAGTGAGCAAGTACAAAACAAGGCGAAATGAAAAGGTTTGTAAAAATAAAGCCGTGGGGGTAGACTTGAGCCATAGTGGTAGATTATCAAGACTTAGGTGCAAGAAAGAAACCAAAGACACAAAGGAGGGACCAAAACAAAGCTTGGACACAATTGTTGCATTCCCATAGACATATTTATTGCACCAACACTATACTCCATTCGCCCATAAATGAATACTGGCACCTCTCGAAAAAAGTTTTTTAGATTTTTTGCTAGGCAATGTTGTCAGAAGACTACCCAATCAATATTTTGTTGCAGAGTAACATATATTTATTAATAAAGCAATAAAAAACTCAACTGACTGAAACCAAAACATGAGCATGGAAGCTCACTGCCTCGACATGTGGACAATGTGTAAAGAGGAGGGGAGAGAAATGTAGAGGAGGAGAAAGTTGCCAGAAGTCACGTGGCAACGCTATTAGACGGGGTTAGTTTGGAAACTCGCTTCCCGGCGTAACATCATTTTGTAGAGCGCATGAGAGGTGGTGTTGAAGACGTCCTAAGAATGCTGTGCCACGTTTGTTTTCGAATGTCCCCGCACATTTCTCAAAACCAACCCCGAAGAGCAACGTACAAAAGGCCCCAAACCTACCGAAACATTGCTCAGGCTGCAGCAAGTTTTACTGCCCCTGATGTGACAATTACATGCAAACTTTAAGTAGGCAACGATGACAGCCATCGAACAGAAACATGCACCAACGTTTCCGACATCTGTTTCAGAATTTCGGGAACACAGTTGCCAGTGAAAAATTTATAATGTCAAAGGACACCCGAGGATCAGATGATTTTCTGCAAGCTTGTGGAGAAGCAAGTTGTCAGCGATGAGGGCCGTCACATTCAAAGAGGATCTGCTTCTGGTTCTCAGCACAGGAGGAAAGTTGGTTCCAGAGGCAAGCTATAGGGGTCAAAGTTCTTGGGCTATGTTGACTCCCTCGAAGTATGTGCTGGGTGCCCCTGTGAACTCTTTCCAACTGTTGTAGTGGGTGCTACTTAGGTGATGGTGTTTTTCTTATTGCTCGCCAGAGGACACCATCATTTATAGAGTGCTTATATAAGGAGCGGCGCGTGGAAATAAAAGTGCTTTTCTTTGGTTGTGGTTACGAGTTAGGCTGCTGTCACCTGGCCGTCGTCCGTTCCGAACATGGTGTCAGCAGCTGGCTAAACTATGAAGGAAGGTGAACCCCGTATCGAAGTGGTTCGTGTCGGAGCGTCGGGACTTCGTCCTCTGGCACCATTCACTTTTACCAGCCCGGCGGAATGGCTGACTTGGATTGCAATCGTACCAGGACTAGGCCTTCGCAGCCGGTCTCGATACTGCCAGTGACAAGGTGCAGGTACACGCGCTTTTGTACTGCATAGAACCACAAGCCCAAAGCGACCTGACATTGTTGGGTGCGCCAACTTCAGAGGCCCTGTCAATCGCTTTTTGCATCCCGTCAACGAGATATACGAGAGTCGCCGGTTCCACCGTCAGACGCAGCAGCAAGACGAGTCTGTCGATGACTTCTTCACGTCTCTTTGTAACCTGGTCAAGCACTGCTGTAACAACAGTGCAAACGTCGAAGACCGCCTGGTACGTAACAAACTCGTTGTGGTGTTGCAGGATGACAAGCTCTCTGACCAGTTGTGTCGCTGTACGAGACTCTGTGGGAGAAGCGCTCTGTGAGGCTTGTCTTCATGAGGACGCCGAAAAAGAGCGGCCGTCACGCGCCAGCGCTGCCTGCGAGAATACCATTCCCGAAAACCTCAACGTCCACGAGATGCAAGAAGATAGCGACCAATCAATCGACACACTATCATGGCAAATCTGAGCAGTTTGCCAGTTCATCTAGTGAGTATTGCGGATGTCACCCTCACCTACGGAAGGATTGCCCAGTGCGGAAATTGTCTTGCCATTTCTGCAAGAAGCAGGGCCATATCGCAGAAGTTTGCAAAGCTAAGAGGCGAAAAGAACTCTTGGGCTCTGTGGAACTTCACATAGTCAGCACACGGCATGCAAGATACACCGAGGTGCACCTGAATAGTCATCTTTCCAAGTTCAAAATAAACTGAAGCGTGGAGGTCACCGCCGTTTCACCCTCTTTCCTGGGGCTTCCTCCTGTCCTGGAAAATCCGAAGGCGAGGTGTCGGGTCCCGGCAACCTACATCTGCACGTCCTGAGGACTTTCAAGACTACCTTGGAGTGGCGTGGCAAGTTCACGGTACCATGTCTCTACATCGTGAAAAATCAGCACACGTTTCTTCTGGGACTGCCTGTCATTGAAGCTCTGGGCATCATTCAGTTCGTGGACTCGACAGAATGCGTTTCATCAACTCAAGCCAAGATTTTTCAAGGCCTGGGGGAACTCCAAGAGGAGTATCTCATCCGTCTCCGGCCGAATGTTCGTCCATTTTCTCTGAGCGTTCCAAGGCGGATTATAATCCCTCTGCTAGATGTCGTGAAGAGGGAACAGGATCACACATAGGCCCAAGGAGTCATTAAAAAAATCTACACGCCAACCCAGTGGCGTTCCGGGACTGATTTTGTAGTGTAAAAAGAGAAGGCAGCACAGTGATGCGCATGCAGCAGTCGAAGGAAGGGACCTTTGTGTCTTGTTATACAAAAGATTGTCGCTCTGTGAACATTTGGAGCTGCGCTGCACGAGTTTGTTTGACCACGTGCACAAGCCTAAGGCGATCTCTCCATAGACTGCAAACCAATTAGTGAGAGTGAACACTAATTTTATGTCAAACTTGGCAAATCTAAAACAGAGACCTCTGAAATGATTTAGAAGGCTTATCTCAAAAAGCAGTGAGGTGTGCGAGCTGTTCTGAGTGGCACTCGCCCCTCAAGAATGGCGGAACGTCACTGAAGTCAAGGAAAGGTCGGATAAGGTCACCCTACTGCTCTTCGTCTTCCAGCGACGTTTCGCCGTTCCTGAAGCGCGAGTGCATCTGCTTTTTGACACAAGCCTGCTGAATCATTTCAAAGGTCTCTGTCTTATATTTGCCGAGTTTGATGCAGAATGGATGTTTGCATCTCGCTCTGGTTTGCAGTCTCTGATGAAATCGCCTTTGTGCCCGTGCAAGTGGTCACAAAAAATTGGTGTAGTGCAGCTCTAAATGTTTACAGAGCGATGCCCTTCAGTATAACGAAACACGAAGGTCCCTTCCTTCGACTGATGCGTGCGCATCACTGTGCTGTCCTTTCTTTTTAAGCTACAAGATCAGACCCAGAACTTTTTGATCACACCTCATAAGATAGATACTTTATTAGTCACTATCAAGAGGCCTATTTATTGAGGTGGACAGCATTTAGGCTTAAGAAGATTTTAATTTGTTTTGCATAATTAAAGTTTTTAACATACGGTTCCAATTCGAAAATTGGTGGGCATTATCAAAAACCACTCAATAAGTATATTTTAGAAAAAGTTGAAGCCTATGCTTCATTTCTTTTGTTTGTGTCCCGCGAATGAATCTAATTTTGATAGTGGTATACATTTTGTGTATAATTTTTCTTGCTGATCCAAGGTTTAGATTTTTGGGTAAAAACAGGTGCAGAGTCCTTAGCTTGCTCTCAAAAAATATGTCTAGAGTTAAAGTTACGTGTGCTAGAAAATTGGTTTGGATATCAAAAATTGCAAACGACCACACAAAATGTACTGTGATTGACAGCGGTAGCCACTGCATTGTGAAAAGATATGCCTTCGGAGATATGCCTTCAGCCAGTTTACTGTACAATATTTGCAATGGGTTCTTTGCTTTCAGTGGAATTGATGTGATTGAATTGTGAGGAGATGTGTGATTTGGTGGAACAATTGTGAGAGATGTTGCATAGAGACGTGCTTCTATTTTGGCTGAAACACTCCTTCAGAACGGGGGCACCCGTGACTGCAACTGAGGTGGAAGCGAAAGTGTGTACGTGAGCTGCTCTGTAAAGGTGCGGAGGCTACACAGAGCGGTGGTAGGAAGGCTGGGGAGGCGAGGGAGCGAACAGCGTGACCGTGTGGTTGTTTTGGGCGGCTGCAGGAGGGCTCTGCTGGAAAGGTGGAGGGCGGGGGGGGGGGGGGGAAGGAGATTGTTGCTGGAGCAAGAACAGCAGCGGCCAACAGGGGGGAAGGGAGGGGGCAGCGAGAGAGAGCCTTGTCGTGTGTGAAAAATGTCCGGGAGAGGGAGTGCAGTGCCTCTGCTGCAGGGAGGGTTTTCTGCACGTACACAAGCACTTTTTTGCTGGGAAGGGGCACTAACAGCTACTGCTGTAAAATGTTTACTCATTTTACGATTTGTAATCGAGGTCCAACTGCATCATCTTCTACAATGAACAAGTTTAAGCTACATTAGACTGTTCACGCTGTGTTGCTGTCACCAAATTTCGTGCCTAAATCTCAGCTGCAAAATATCTGACCACAGCAAATGGGCTGCACCAACAGAAAATGGGCAACAAGGTGATGATACAAAGAGAAGAGAACAAAATCTATACATCATTTGGGAGTGCTTTCTTCATAGGCTGTTGCCACTACTAATTTTTGTTGGTTCAAAACCAAACAGTCCCTTAGCCAAAGATCACTAGGAGATACAAGAAGCCACAAAAAAACAACTTTTGTGCACATGATTGAAGACAGTCACTGACAATTCACAGATCAAAAAAAGTTTTCTCGAAATGAGAAACTCCTTTTTAAAGGGTAACTGCAAAGAAAAAAAAGTGTATTTTTAGACAGCTAATTGGGACAAGCATGTCGCAAAACAATTTTTCCACCCAAAACAAAATTTTTTACAGCAATATTTATTGCGCGAGACTGATTTTAGCTTGTGGCTATTTCGTCCGTTTTAAATCACACGCCACAAAGTTGGTATTATACGTCATGTAATGGCTGCTATACGTCACGAAGTGACGTATGACAGCCATTCCGCGCGCGTCGAAAGAGCGGGAGTTTCAAATGTGGAGAAGTTGTGACCCCGACGAAATTTCGTCCTGTGGTGCAAATATTGCTAGGAGAAATTTGTTTTTTGCGGAAGATTTGTTTTGTGACATGCTTGTCTCAATTAGGCTGTTTAAAAAAACACTTTTTTTTTCTTTGCAGTTACCCTTTAAGTTAATTTAATGTGCACATATGACTGCCGGACCAAACTCGTATGTCCCTATTTAGGCAACATGGAATGTAGACTGCCCTTGTGTGAGTAATACTCCCTGAAACTTTTCTACAGATTTCAAGCACGCTTTGGAACCCACTTCCTGGTACAGTGCTTTCAAGTTCTTTTCCCATCAGGTCTAAAGGCCCGTTCACACGCTTGGAAGTATGCTTTAAAACCTCTTAAAATCTCTTAGGACGAGTGAACACAATGGCGCCATCTATGCGGTGACCCTGGAATGGCATTTCGCTAGAGCGGAAGTTAGGTGGTATTGGGGAAATCAAATGTACCTACCACCTATGAGAAACGGTCATTTATAACATTGATAAAGATTTTTTCAGTCCAACCGAGTGCGACTGCAACGGTTTGTGACATACGGGTTTGCAATGGCAACAGCTGCGTCGGCTCCAACAAAACGGGGTAAAAACCGGTTTCGTTGGAGTCGACGCAGCTGCTGTCATAACAACGGCTTTGTCATATTGTCATAACACTCCGTTGGACTCGACGCAAGTGTGTGAACCAGCCTTTACACACGCGCCAGATTACAACTGCCATTGCTGACCTTCTCTTATGATACCAAGATACCGAACCACTGAAATGGGTGGGCGTTGACAAGCCAGCACAAAGGTTGACGAAAGGACATAACACAATTCAAAATAGCAATGACTTGGCCTGTAATGGTATTAATGAAGTGAAGGAAATAATAGAAAACAAAAAGGTCAGTTATGGCAGTGCCCATGCAAGGCTGCAGAGCTGTATATAGAGAGAGTTTGGCCATTCATTGGGAGGTATAGGAGGCCAACAAGGAGGCGCCATTGGCCGAGTGCGGGCTGGGCGTGTTCCAAGGCGTCTTCACAGACTCTAATTGTGGCCAGCCAGAAGCCGCAAATAATACCCTGGCGGTGGTCGCGAAAAACAAAATTGACAAGTTTGTCAAAGTAACTCTCGGTGACTGAAAATATGGTGCACGCGATTTTTCAATCAAGGTCATGCAATATCAAAATCTAGGAGAATGATCAAAGTGACCCGTACGCCAGGTGCCAAGGGCCAGGAAAATGCCGTTCGAGTATTCAAACTCCGACCGAGCAAAACAGAGTTAGAGCGGCACATTCAATTCTTACATCTTTTTGCATGATCATAATCGAAACATCTCGTGTACTACATTTTTAACCATAAAGAGTTACTCCATTTACCTCTTACACACTTAATAAAAGTGTTTCTCGCTACCACCGCTAGAGGATTATTTTTGGCTTCTGGTTGGCAAAGAGAGCACGTCAAGCCTTCTATCCGCGTCTTGGCACGCCCTGGCTCTGCCCGCTCCTCCCATTGACCAAACTCTTATATACTGCTCTGCAGTATATAAGAGTTTGGTCTCTTATATAACCGTTTATACGGAACTGCTAGGTGTTCCAGGGCTGCCCGATAGGTGGCGCCCTCTCAAATCGCAAGTGTGAACGGACCTTCATTTTGTTGTTTATTGGGAAAGCGCTCATATGCTTCCACTTCTGTCAGTCTTTCTCCAGGCCCCTCTTCCCAGTATCGCTTACATTAGTTTTTTTTTAATGTGGGAAGCGGAGGGCCCCCTACTCCCACCCGCCACGGTTTGGACACCGCTGGGAGGTCTGTCAATTTCGGATTTTATTTGTGCAATTGTTTAGTTGTTCCCCTTCGCAGAAGTGTGGAGACCTTGCACTATGTGCTACCAGAGGCATGACATCCAGAGAGTCTTCCCCCAAGGGATTATGCCAAGTGAGTTGGGAGTTCCTGAGAGATTATTTCTTCTCATTCCCCAGGGAATGAGAAGTGTCTGTGGAAGGAGGGGGAGGGGGAACAGAATTGTTTCTTTCGGCAGTGAAGACTGAGCAGACAGGAAAGGGGGGCCCCTGATGCAGCCTTCAACTTTTGGGGAAGGGCTAGCAATAAATCTCCTATATATACAGGGTGTCCAAAAAATAATTTACGGTGTTTTCTGTACGGCAAAAATAAACTATGCATCACCGAACGCTCAATCCCCGCTCAGATGTAGCCCTAGCAGCCCGAATTAGATGCCAAAGTTTCTGAACTAACTCTCATCTTATTCAAAGATATTATAAACGATTTTCTTAAATTTTCAATTGGAAAATGGTGGCCGATGAACCCAGTCGAATACAAAGAGCTAAATGGCACCAGTTACCAAAAAGAAACTCCATTTTCGCATACAAATTTTCAGAAAATCACCTAAACTTTTGACTGAGATAATGGTTAGCTCTGAAACTTTGGCATCTGGTTTCGACCGCTAGTGCTACACCTGGGAGGAGAATCAGCATTCGGCGATGCATAGTACACTTTTGCGGTGAAAAACATGCTAAATGTTTCGGTGGGACACATTGTATATACCGTAAAATATTGGGGGAGCATTCACCCCACTCTCACTAAAAACTGGGTTAATCCAAGCATGGGCACTTGTCCAGTCCAAACAAGTGCTTGATGTGCAATTTTCAGAATTCCCAAGTTTGTGAAATGTTAATAGTGGGTGCTTGAACGAAGTAGGCGCCTCCACGGTATTTAACGGTATATATATTTTTTTTCTAAAATTAATTGGGAGTCATTATTGTTGATCATCCCCACCACAACCGGGACTTCGCTCGAGTCGACTTGACCGATAGGTTCTTTGCGTTCGGAGTTTATATACTTTACAATATTTTAGCGGCAAAAATCCAGCTCCGTTTATCAATCCAATATTAGGAGCAGGTTCAGGTTTTTTTTGTTTTTTTTTACCCATCAATTTTACGATTTGGTAGTTTCAGTGTTTTTTCTTCCAAGTAGAGACAACTATGAAACAAGCAGAAAGGAGTACGCCGCAACTGTGTAGTTACACTCGCTGTGTACTGGCATTAACCGCTCTAAAGAACCTAAAACAAATGACACTCTGCATATGCATTCGTTAACACCTTATTTTTATTAATTACTCCAATTCTTTCTTTTATACTGCTAAGATATGCGAGTGCACCTATGTTCCCAGCATTCTCCTTGGTGCTGGCACAACTTGACAAAAAGAAAAGAAGAAAAAACAGGTCTATTGCACATATAAAATGAGTTTGGTTAATGTTTTCTAGCTAATTTATTGGCTCCTTTCATGACTTCCACGCTTGGTGATGCAATGTCACCTGTTTCACATGCCGCTACAAGTAAACCAGTGTAAATCGTTTTTGTGCCCCTAAGCCCATTTTAACCATTACTTCTAATGATCGTGAAAGGATCACTGCACGCTCGTATTTTATTTGTAAACCCGACTTCTTGAAAGCTCCGTTTCCCTACTCTTGCATGTTCGTCCGGCAGCATAAAACATGTTTCTTTGTTTCCTTTTTTTTTTTTTTTTTCCTTACTTGCTTAGTTCGTGTTACATACGTTGTATGCACGCCTCGCGCACAACGCAAACTCTGCACGACAACAATCGTTGCTTAAAATTGCTCAACAAATCTCTTCGGCTTTCAGGCAGTTGTTTTGGTACGCCTTCAACTTCCGGAAAATTTTTGTTACAAAGTTTTTAAGCCTAGCTGCCGCAAATCAACAGGTCAATCCAGTGTTTGTGTTGTTTTTGTTTTTTTCTGGGAGTAGCGATTACGGCAGTGCTTCGATATTTCTTGACTCACACGATCTAGAAGTTTGATGTGCGGTCAATGCGAAAGACGCTCATATGATCGCAAACTTTTAAAGCTCGTACGGTTCAAGACGAGGGAAATCGCCGGTCGAAGACACACGTGCTGTGGCGTTAGCCCGATCTCGCACTCGAGGAGAGCAAGGGTCTTTCTTGAGTGACATGCAAGCAATTGTGGTGATTTACCTCGGGAGAGCTCGTCTGACGCCTCTCCATTGAAACTGCGTCCAAGGAGATACCGGTGCAACGAACACAACTTGGCTCAGCTCAGTTCTTCGCTCGTCCAAGTTCAGCTGAGATCGCTCCAACTGACTTCTCGCGATACCAGCGAAACTGGCGAAACCGCGAAACCAGCGAACCTCTCTTTCTTCGCTTTGAAAGTGGAAAGGTAGAGAAGGGGACCGGAGCAACTAGCTCTGGGAGCAACAAACGGGCCGGTGGGCTGATGGGCGGGGAAAGGTGGGAGGAGGAAGGGGGAGGTGAGGAAAAACTAAAAAGAAAAAAGACAAAAATTACGTCATTGTTATATGAATGGAGAAATGCATATTGCTAAACTTTTTATTTAGGCGGCGGCTTGCGGCACCTATTCAATACTTTGTATTGCTATACAAATTTTAACTTTTTAAGCATATTTTTAAAACGTTTGGGCTAATTTTTAAAATATTTTTATTTATAAATGTAATTTGTTTAAAAATTAGTTCTCTTAATATTTAAAAACAACCTCAACACACACTTGTTGATGCTTTGTTTCGGTAAAACAATTTACACAGGTCAAAATAAAAGAGTTTGGATGTATAACGCGTCATAATTTTAACTCGCACTAAAATTAACAAAATGATTTTGGCATTATTGGCTTACTGTCAGCAGCGCCATCCGGACGTTTATTTTGCGTCTCGCTTTCTTTCTTCTTTTACGCTTTTGATATCGGGCCTGGAGCGATCTTGCATGACATTTCTGGAGTAATGGCGTCCCGCCTGGAGTGGATTCCAGATTCTCTGTACAACTCCGCCGTTACGACGCTGGTCAACAATTACCTCATCTTCCAGAAAGACCTGAAATACCTCCCCGAGAGCATCACTTTCGACATTTTTTATCAGGTACGACACGTTTGTCGCGTGGGATCCGTCGAGAGTCACACGAGCACGGTAGTGTCCCCTCGCCTGCTGTGTGGCTGTATGACCTACCTATGTGGGACAGGCTTGAGCGGTCCGCCTTACCTGTCTCTCAAGAAAAGCAAAGAACAACTCGCATCCGAGGAATTCTTGCACCCGTTATACGAATTAAAAGTTTGGACGCGTGTTGGGCCTTATCTTGCGACCGTCTGGTCCACGAGATACGCGCTGTAACCGCCAATATGCTGAAATTTGGGATACGTGCAATCGGTGCGTTTCGTCCATTCAGGTGTTTGCGGGGGAGCGCTGAACTTTCAAGGCGTTGTCGTGAAATGCTCCCGTTTACGTGCCTCTGGTGACAGCCTTTTTTCTTAGAGTAATGCTATATGCACTCCGGAGTGCAGCTCGGCCGGAAATTGCTATATGCACTACGTTTGTCTCGTATAAAATGAATGGTCACAACGAGTTTTCCAACCGGTGGCATAGCGTAGGAGTTAGCGTGTCCGCTTCATACGCAAGTGGACGCAGGTTCGAATCGCGGTGATCCTACTTTTTTTTTTTTTTTCTTGAACGTTGTTTTGATGAGGCATTTGGCGATATTTATATTTCTTTTTGCGATGACTAAAAAAAAAAAAAAAAACACTGAATGTTGTCGACGAAACTTCCCAGACTTCGCAGATCGGGGACAGCGGGGCTTGGGTTGCCGGCTGGACGCCGCGAAGCAGCGTGTACTGGTTAACTTTTCTAATTAGCAGCCGCATACTGTCGCCGCGAAGCGGCGTGAACGCAGGCGGGGGGCTGGGTTAACGAGCTCCCCAGTGATACACGCGCAGTTCGGAAAAGGGTGGCCCGAGCGGCATGAGCTCTCAGCGTAGTGCATATAGCAATTTCCGTCCAAAGTGCACTACGTAGTGCATATAGCATCGCTCTTTTTCTTATGTGTGCTTGCTCTTTTTCTTGTCTCCCATTATTCAGCTCTACAAGCAAAACAAACTATGCTTCCTAGGCTTCGAATTCTCCGATTTGGATGTGTTCGCCAAGATATCCAAGGTGAAGGACAAGAGGTACGTATTTATCTTCGTTTTTATTTGTTGATTATTAATTGCCCATGGTAACCCTCTCTTTTTTTTTTCTTTTTTTTTCTTTCGTTTGCATAACTGTACGTCAACAGCCTCGTACAAGACTTCATCCTATTTCCATTGGCTTCTCTCTGACAATCGACTTGTAGATGTGTACTAGTCGTTGACAATGTTTTTTTTTGTTCTTTTACTCTACCGTTAGGAGTGGTATGTTGTGCATGTTCTACATTTTATAGCAGTGTGTCTTAATACATGTATTGCTCTGACGTCATATCATCCATCTCGCACCACCATGTAAGAGAGAGAGGGGAAGCTGCTTTTGTACGAATTTTGAGTGACGGGTTAATTCTCTATAACAGTGCTTCCCAACCATTGATGTTTCGCGGACCCCTTGTGGATCGGTGAAGATGATGGAGGACCCCATTCGTGGTGAGGGGAAGGGAAAGGTATATAATAATTATGATGAGTTAATAACTGGGTATAACTAAGGGCTAGTGTGCAATAGACTTCTCTCATTGACATACACACCAGAAAACTCACCCGAAAATTGGAACGTTGCTGTTCAATCTGAAAAAATACAACTTTTATTGTCAGGCTTGACTGTCGAGGTAGGGCTTTGCAGACCCTTAGAATGCCTTTGCGGACCCCAAAGGGTCTGCAGACCCCCATTTGAGAACCACTGCTTTATAATCTTCTAGAGGGAAAATAGCTGCATCTGTGAAAAAACGGTTAAAGTGCAGGCGAGCTGGTGTAAGTTATACATGATGATTGAAAACCTGAGACTGTGGTTTGAAAAACAGAAAATCGTGAAGTAGAAAGAAAAAGGGACGTTATCTGTCCCTTTTTCTTTCTACTTCACAATTTTCCATTTTTCAAACCACAGTCTCAGGTTTTCAATCGTCATGTATAGCTATATCTGGGCACCTCTGGGACAAACAAAATAAAGTCCCCCCTTCCCCTCTTCTCTGGTGGTGGCCAGAGAGCTGACGGGATGATGTCATGTGCAAAGCTTGCACAGATATTGCATTCAAAGTTTGTTGGCATAGTAAAGACGGAATATTGGCATTTATCTTGACAACTTCTATTCTTCGTAATTAAACTATTTATAATTTCCAGAAGTGTGTGTCAGGACCATTTGTTTAAAATTTAGTCCCCAGCAAAAGTTTTATATTCAAAACATTATTGGCAGCTCTGCCTTCAAAGCACAGAAATCTGCATTATCCCTCAAGTTTTGACCATCCTTATCTGTGTTCTTTATACACTTGCATCCTCCAAGACATCCCGAGCTAACCCTGCATAAATCTACTGATCGCGTAGTTGCTCCGACATTGATAGAGGCCACGTGCAGGAAATAGGCCGGCATGGAAAATGACGACGGAAGCTATCGAGAATTCTTAGTGCCGCTATACGTGTAAATGTTTTGCTTGACAAATTTTGATGACACATCAGCAATGTTTGCTCAGGTTAATGCAAGTTTCTGAGGAGAGCTTCCCAAAAGTGATGCACATATTATCCCGTTTGTCCTCTTTGTTTATTTTATTTTTTTATAACTTTTCAAACTTTCTTATGGGAGGGTCCTTCTTAGCATCGTGAAGCTGTGTAAAAGAGAGCACAACTGCTTCATTATTGGTTGTGTCGAGACCTGACCACAGATGCGGACAAAAACTTGTCTGATGCGGGAACACAGCTGTGGAAACAAAGACACGGTGCCTTTACCATGTGTTTGGATGTGTAGGCAAGCAGATATGGTTTTGGCAACATTTCTGCCTGAGCAGTCATGCAGACAACACAGACCATCTAAAATGACATGTTCCTGTACTAGTGGCAGTGGTTCCTTAGACCTTCAGATGAACATGTATTAAGGACAGAATTTCTGTTCTGCTGATTTATAAAACTACCTTTTCAAACTAAATAAATAGTTGCTTGGAATGTCCTGGAAAAATGCTGGTCTTGGATCTCCTTCATATTAAAGCTCTATTTTTTTTTAGACACTTAGAAATGGGGTTAAACTATTCATATGATATTAATGGTCCCAAGAAGTTTCTTTTCCAATGTCGGGTCATTAGCAAAAGTTGGCTTATTGTCAGTGTCTGTTCGGGTCAGTTTTGCTGTATTTTTGTGTCGCAGCAGAAACTAATCTAACCATCTGATTGTGCTTGCCACTGTTGTGGTTAGAGTTTAGAGTATACCATTTGGGCCTTTTATCTGAAAGGAGAAAGTAGAATTCTTATATTTGGGGAAGTGATATTCCAACGGAAGCAAACTCCATCAGGCACAGAATTTGCGACAACAAAACTTTACCAACACTTCAAATTTTGTTAAAAGCGAGCTCTGGAAACTCGGAACCCCATCTATATCCTTCTGCACCTTAAGCTTGACGCGCAGATAAGAGTAGTTTCTTACAAACTTCTTTTGTCTCTAATGCTCCGTGGCTGTTACAAAAGAAATGTGCCTTTAGTCATGGCAGATTGAGAAGGGCACGGCACGTCTTTAAAATGCCTGGCCTTCAGCATTCGCTCCACGTCTTCTGTTGCGCCTCGGCTGCGTGCACGCGCTCTCAAGGTGCACGAGATGCCAGAACTTTGTTGACGGTAGGAATCTCGCACTGGAGGCGGAGCAACCGAAGCTCCTCTTTGCCGTTCCCACCTCGTCGAGGACCATGGTGGGCAGGGGGTGGGTAACGACTGGGGCAGAACACGGAAAATCGTAAGTGCCGAGAGAAAGAATGAGAAAAAGAGTAACAGAAAAGGGGGAAAAAAAAAAAGCAGACGAAAGGTCAGGCGTGTTTATTTTTCCGCCGCAACTTTAAGTTCTTCGGGCACTCGTCACCTTCGTTTATTTTTATACCTCGCATGATGCCGGTGTTTTTATGCAGAATGAAGTTAGAAAAACGCTAAGTACAGACTTTGCGAGGGATATTCTTTTGCTTCTTCGCATATACCAAAACATCATTCTGGAGCGATTGAAATGCGTGGGACCTTTCCCTCTAGATCAGTGGTTCTCAATCACTGATAATTTTGGGATCGCTTCGGGATTGGCAGAGATATTCGTAGTCAGAGGAAGAGTAAAGTAGAAGTTCATTATGATAAGGATTTAATGAATGGATATAGCTAAGGGCTACTGTGAAATAGACTTGTTTCATTGACATACACAGAAACTCAAATATTGAAATGTTTCTTCTCAATTTAAAGAAAAAAAAGACAGCTTGACTGATGAGGCAGGTCTTCGCGGACCCCCATTTGAGAACTACCGCTCTAGATTGTTATATTAACTCTGTGATGGTGGGTTGGCAGTGCTGACCAGGGGCCTGCATTTGTTTGTCCAGGCACCTGCTGCACCACTGCTTCCAGGCTGTGATGGACCACGGCACCCAGACGGCCCACTCCCTGGCCGAGACGTACCGCCAGCGCTGCTACTCAGCCTCCAGCCTCCCCGCAGTGCACCACGACTCGTTCGAGTACCTCATCTCGGTCGGCATCTCACTAGGCGAGTCGCTGCCTGCGCCTCTCCTCCTTCCTGCGTCACCCTGCGTCCAGGGCTCGGCCTCGGTGCCCCTCTTCCATGAGCAGGCAGTGGACTTTCCGGTTTTGACCGAAAAACACCGGCAAACATCCATTGGCGTCAAAAATAGAAAATCAGTGAAAATCGAAAAACGCCGCTTTACAAAAGTTTTTGCACCAGCTTAAATTTTATTTTTTTTGAAACCCTGTCCTCCTAGACTTAACCTCTTAACTCTTTGCAAAATTTTTATTTATTTATTTTTTTTTTTTTTCGCCCATAATTGTTTTGTTTTTTTTTGCTAGAGATGCTGCAAACTTTTTGCGAACTTGAGGTTCGATGATCGAGCCAAGGGGTTTGAAAGGTTCGTGAAGTTTCGAAAGTCAAACTTATTACATAAAAGATTCAACGATTTTCAAACTTTTGAATTTTTGCCACTGAGAGATCTTATTGTTTTCGAATTTCCGATTTTTTATGCTATGAAATTCAATGCTTTCAAACTTATTACGCTAAGAAATTCTATGATTTTCTAACTTTCGAACCAGCCTAATTCAAAAGTTTGACGAACTTCGAACTTCTCAACAAGAGTTCCAACCAAGTTCACCCCCATAGGTCTCATGCAATAAATATAAATAACGCAAGATGTCAATGCGTGAAGTGGAGTTGAAATTGCACTCGGAGGCTTACCATTAGCTGATCGTGCCACAAACGACGCGCTTGTAAAGCGCTGAATGATCGCTTTGGGCTGGCCTCGGCCTCATACCTCACACCTTTTCCTTTCGACTTCCACACAGAGCCTTTCTCGCACACAACTCTATGTAGCCCGAGGTAACCTGTAGGGCAACAGATCCCTGATCTCCAGTCTTAAAATTCAACTGGGGCACTTTGCTGGGAGTGTCCTTCATAGCATTAGTTGTTTTAGAGCGCAGCTCTTAGGCGCCTTCCCGCTTGAGCGGCGTCGCCGTCGGCATAACCGCGCGATGACGATAACGATGAGGATGACGTCATCACGTTGACGTCGTCGTCATCCTCATCCTCATCGTCACTGATGACGTCATCAGTGACAATGACGCTAAATTCCCCGCTAAATCTAGCGGAAAAATTTTCCCGCTTAATTTAGCGGAAGAAATTTCCCCGCTAAATCTAGAGGAAAAAATTGCCCCGGCTAAATTCCCTCCAAGTTTACATGCGATGCTCTCACCAAAGATGTGCATTTTTTGTGACTTGTATAAAGCACACGTCGATCCACATTCATGTTAGTAGTGGGGGAGTTTCCACCTTCTCCCCTCAGTACCCTTGCCTCCTCCTCCTCAAGAGCTGCGCTCTAAATCGGCGTTAGGGATTGTAAATGTCTTTCATTTTTTTAATGCAAGTCCGTCGATGTGCTCGTGCAAGAAAAGGTGCATGTGGAGAGCAACGCTGATGCGGTAGAGTGAACGCTGAATTGGCGCTTACTTCATTATCATTAGTAACTGGCTGCATTTTAGAGCGGCCAATATCTCCATTCATCAAAGAAGGAAAAGTTCCAAGCTGCGGCGATATGGTTAGCTCGATAACAAGTGGTCTAGACCTGATCAGCTGTATTAGGCTGGGTGGTGCCCTAATTTAGTCTGGTTGCATTCTCCTAAACCTTGACTTGTGTCGGGTGCTGTGCCAGTGTTCAGTGTTTTCTCTATCCCACGTGTCACCTTGCTGAAAGTAAACTCACAGAAAAACAAAACTTTTTTTGAGAAGCCTAGATGCCTTTATGTGAATGCATTGTCCTGCATATTTAGTTGTCTTATGCCAGCATTGCATTTAGGCGACATTTGATCGGATTGCTACTAGTTTGCAAATAAGTAGGAACTATATTCACCTGACTGTCTCGGGTCTTTTCGATTAACTGTGCAATCACTTCAACGCTTGTTTCATAAGTTACGATAAATACAGTAATACTATCTATAACAAAATTCGATATCTTCGAACTCAAACTTTTAGAAGCCTTAACATTTTCTAATTATTCGAGTTCGAATCTCAGTGAAGTTCTAAAGGCGCAAACTTTTCAAATTCAAACCTTAGCGAGGTTCGAACATTTCGAAACCTTTCAAACTCAAACTTCGGAAGGTTCACGGCATCCTTAGTTTTCGCCGTCCCTCCAAAATGGGTCACCGAAATACACCAATATTCGATAAATTAATAAATGCAGAAAAATATCCCCCGATTTCTCCTTATAAATAAGCGCCGAAAAATCTATGTCCCACTCATGAGTTCGATGCCTATAATCCGTTTCACTGTAAGTGCAAACGTAGCAGAACCTACAACAGCGAGCCCCGGGCTTTCGTCGCTCCTGCTCATGCAGTGCAAGCGTCATTCCATACTGCACGTTTGTGTTTGTAGCTTGGGCTTCATTCGCGCTCTGAAGCGAAAGAAACCATAGATTGTGTCTTCCACCAGCTTGTTTAGTGTCCCATGCTGTCCATGCATAGGAAGTGGTTCCGAAGTGGCAGCAAATGATCTCACGGGAGCCTGCGCGTCATGCTGTCAGATGTTGTGATCCCAGCGATTGGTTGTTGAACCTCGTGGCACAAACAATGATTGAACACCAGTGCTGCTGTCTTCTCAGTGTTCGTGGCCACCAAAGCTTCCGTAGACTATAAGCCGAAGAGCACTCTAGAGCGGAACAAGCGTTTATCTTATGGCCTCATCTGACGCGGATGCTGTGCCGCCGCAGGGATTGAGGCACAACACTTCTTCGGCGTCTTCGGGCAAAAAGCAAGGGATCATATTTGTGGACGTAGTAAGCGCACTGGTTGAAGACTCTTTCCAGGCACAATACCGTAAGGTGGGCCCGGAAGAGTGTCTACCTCGAGACGGTCGAATGGGAGGCTGCGGGTTGAGCTGGTTGGCAGAGCGGGTACAGCGCCAGGCATTGAACGCCGTGGAATCGGTGCTCTGGTGCATGCCAGCCTACAGTGCGAGCCTGGGTGGCCACTTGTTGGTTTTCTCGTCTCACCAGAGTGCAAATATTAATTTTATTCGAGACAAGCTAGCCTTGTCTTCGTAGTAGGTCCTTGAGTTATGTGGGCCTTATAGACCAAGGATGAGTGCAGGCAAGACTTACTGGCAGTTATTTATGGATGTAAGTTTTTAAAAAATGTGTATATATTTAAGTTTAGTGGGTGTTATTTGGGGGGGGGGGGGGATTATTTTTTCCTGGAAATTTGTAGTTTTGAAGCTTGAGCAGTGATTTTGAGGTGCTCGGCTTTGTAGTCGTGTCTATCACAAGGTTGTGAAAAGATAACTCATAAAAGAAACATAAAGAAACAATACTATGTTGTACGATCAATCAACATGGTCTATCAGGCTCTATCCATGCTTTTGGGACGTCGCAGCTCCTCGAGCTTTCAACAATACTTTTTGGGGTGTTTTAGTTCTTCTCGGAATAAATGGGATTCATGGCTTGGCAAGTTGTTTGTCAACTTTCCTTCGCCAAAAATTGTCGGTCATAGCTTCTTTTACTGTGCAAGACGCTCAAGTATGCAATTGCAAGCTCGAAACTACTTGTGGTCAAAAAGTTGCCGTATTAAGTCCCCGCTTCCTTTCTGTGCAGGAAATTTTCTCAGCGATGCCGGCTGGTTCCGTGAGAGTGAGAAGATGCTACTGAGTTGCCTGTCCCTCTGCCGCCAGATGGACGACTACCCACACTGGGTCTCTGCCCTGGAGTGCTGCCTCAGGTGGGTCCTGCGTCAGCCAGTGGGGTGACGGCAAGGCTTGTTGGGTCCATCTCATAAGTGGTGTTTCGGCAGAGTGTTCAATTTTAAATACTGCGGTGTCTGACCTAGAGCCGGTGTTTTAACTTGTTACAAACTCCTGTGTGAGGAAAAACTGAGCAAGCACCTGTGTTCTACTTTGAGAAAACATGGTAAGTTTAGAAAAGGGTCAGCAACAATCAAAAGCAACGGTTCGCATAATTTATTTCATAAGTTTTCTCTTGAAAGACAACGGTGAAGAGTATCGTAAGTGTTATTTGATATTAACCGAGCACCAAAACTCGCCACGTTTTGACCTATGAACGACTGATTACAGCAGTTCGGCCGCTCACTGGCTGTGGTTCTTCGCCGTGTTCAATTATTCTGACACTGCTGCCGCATGCAATCGATTGGGTAGCCCATTCTCATTCCCACGAAGAGAAATTGACTGCAGTATCCCATTAATAACATTCGGTGGCTCTTTGCATTGCCTCAAGCGTCGTCACAGAACTCTTAGCACCTTCCACCTAGGAACGGGGAAGAAGAAGTTTCTTTGTGCTTCTACGTACACGGCATGGCAATGGTGTTTTCACTCGGAGACATGCCATAAAGACGCACTTGTAACGACCCACCGTACGAACAAGTAATCTTTCTGTTGCTGTCTTTCAGGCTGCTTCACGTTCAGCACTCGTACTGCAAGTTCACGGAGGCCATGGAAACGTTGGAGGAGACGAAGCTGTACATTGTCAAGTTGACCAACATGGGCCACTCGCTCAACCTAGCTGGCCTCTACTCCGAGTTCTCCTCCCTCTACTCCTGCCGGAGCCAATACAAGGAGGTGAGGGGGTTTCGTGCTTTCTCCGGTTGATACCGACAGTCAACTATCGTAAAACCATCTTTACTACCGGTGATGTGCAGTATGGCGAGAGTTTGCCACTGGATATCTCGTATTTAAAATATCCATTTTGGTTATTAAGGAAATCTCTTATCTAAAATATCCATTGGGAGTTAAGTTCGCAGTATGAAACCATTGGGAACTTTAGCATTAGTTATTGAGAAACAATGTCGAAACTCAAATTTTCATTGTTTTTCTGTAGTTTTTCTTGTAGTGTTATCCTAGTTTTTCGTTGATTTTTTTTTAGTTGTCCTTGTTTTGTGGTAGATCTTTTACGGTTGTACCTTTGCTTTCAGATTACTTTTTTTTTTAATTTTTATGCCGTTCTAATAGTATAGCTCTTCGATATGTGTTTAATGCGATAGCATTAACTGTCCCATGGAGTGCAGCCGGCGTTGTGTTTGTAACAACGAGAAATGGCGCCTAGTCCCATTCGCTGAGTGTAACGGCACCTAAATGCCCATTGGCTGAGCGAAACAGCACCTCAATGCAAGTCATCAAGCGTGTGCGTTCAGAAATAAAACACAAAGAAAAGCACAGCAACGCAGATGCATCTCCACACACTCCCATTGTCGCGCCCAGCTTTGCACTTCCGCCACTGCCTCACCCAGCAGCGCAGCAATCACCAGCGAGCCAGGGCGGTCTGCATGGCACGCCGTCACACGCCCTGCCGGCATTGCAGCCGCTTCTGCTCCTCTCGGCACTGAGAGTGCTTTTACATTCACAACTCATAAGAAGTGTTTAGGTGGCCTCAGAAGCAACAAATCCCTAACAAATTTAAGTTTTACTCTTGTGTCTTTTCAATTTTCGACGGTTTCTTGAGTGCTGAGATACTCCAAAAAGCCAAGAGGCATTGTAGAAAATGAGTTTGCCGATTTGGTACGGATGGAGAAAAACAGATTTGTTTAACTCTTTGCAGTCATGTGTCGGGCCAGGCCCGACACATGAATCCGGTCAGGATTCTGGCGTCGCCCGACACTCATTCCCGCGTCCTTTTAAACATGCTCCTTCACTCTCTTTGCTGGATCGGTGGCGCCATCTCTTGAAAAACACTTCGATCACATCACTTTTGAAAGGGTTCAAGTTTCTTCTCATAGAGGGCAAGACTAGTCATAAAGAAAAAAAAAAGACATGTTCTATGTCGTATGTTTTTTTTGCGCAACGGAGGAGCGCGCAAATTTAAACTTCGCTGGCACGATGGTTATAGCCACATTCCAGCCACGCTTGTTTTATGTAACTCTCTGCTTGATGTAATTGAAAGTGACGACGATTTCAGTGAAGAGGACGACTATATCCCTTCATCAGATGATGGAGAGGCGAGCTTTGTGACTTGAGTGAAAGTAGTGATGAATATGAAACGACTGCGCGAGACAGCGGCCGCGGAGCCGCTCGGCCGCAAGCATCGTTCCGGAGTTTGTACACAAACAATCTCCCAGACTTTCCTGTCCTTACGTTGTGGGAAAGTTGCCTTGCTGCGTGCCCAACCCGGCGGAACAACACGGAGCCAGGATTTCGGAAAACGTGAGGCTACATTTATTAGTAAATTGTAAACATGAAGTTAATATTAACAAGGTCGTTGGTCGACTCCGCCGCAGCGTGTACTTTTCGCTCCAGGCCCCGCTTCTCTCTCCCTTGGTCGGCGTCCCCGCTGCTGCTTTTATGCGTTCTTTCACAGGGGGTAATGCCCCCCGCGCTCTTTACACACAGTGGCGCCCCTATAGCGTCCACACAATCCCCCCCTCAAAAGTCAGGCATGTCGATAACGTGCTCGTCCTGGTCGTTTGACCTCAGAAGTTGAGGACGTTGCCTTCGTACGACGTCGATGGCCCTCTGCAGCTCGTCGTGGTTCTGGAGCCTCGCAGCGCGGTCGGCAGCTTCCCGGGTCACGTGTAGGAGCCCCGCTCGGTGTGTTTCTCGAGCGAGCTCCGGGACTCCGCACAGCGGACAGAGGAGCCTCCGTTCCTCTGCGGTGTTCTGCTGCTCCCAAGGAGTGCGGCGGAGTAGCCTCGGACGAAGGCCGCAGGGGCCGCCTGGAGAAGCTGGACTCGACGCAGAGCACGGACAGCCTCAAGCGCAGGAAGAAGAAAAAGAAGAAACAGCTCAACAGCCAGCACAGCCACGAGGACAGGCTGCAGGCAAAGCAGTCGGCGGAGGATGAGGTGACCGCAAGCGTTCGGGAGGTGAACCGGATGCTTGGCGAGCCGCAGGGTGGTGCCCAAGTGACGCCGGAGACCACCGGTGGAAGGAGCGAAAGGAGCCTGCTCTGTGTAGACCGGCGGCATCTGAACCCCGAAAACGAGATGAGGCGCATCTTCGGATCGAGAGTCGTCCAATCGGAGCAGGCGAAAAAGCGTGGCCGGGGTGGGCGTGTTTACGGCAGATCTGGCATCCTGGTGCAAGGTCGTAACTGGTCGCACATCGGAAAGCCAGGAATAAGCATGGAACTGGTGGAGACAAGGGGCGAAGTGCATCACTTTACCTTCGAGCACAGCAAGGCCTACCAGGCCATCCAGTTCCAGTTCCTAGATGCCGTTGAGACCTTCAACCCAGACAACATTGTGGCCCTTCTGAACATACACCCGCTGCACGTGGACTCTCTAATTCAGTTCAGCGATGTCTGCAAGATGGGAGAAGACCTGCGGATGGCTGTTGATTGAGCGACATCCGTGAGCGTATTTTGATATCATCTTCGTAAGTCTCCCTCTTGTTGTGAATGGGAGTGCTTCTTCTAATATCCTAGTTCAGCGCCAGGACTACGGTCCACCCTTTTTTGGGGTGCTTCGAGCGTCAACATGTCTAACCGTGTGCTGAAGAAGTTGCAAAGGGGCAACGATTTTGGTAAGCTCGACGCCCAGTCAGACACTGAAGATGAAGCTCCTGCCGCTTCAGAGTCGAACGGGACCAAAAAGAAGACCAAGCAGCAGCGAGCCGCCAACTGCTTCGAGTTGCTCACAGGGCTGGGCGACCAGTCCCTTTCGGACACTGCCAAGGAGGACGACGACCGCGAGAACGAGCCACCAGCCGGCCCGGCGCCCTCATCGGCACACACGGCCCAAGAGGGCGCCCCGGAGGAGTGCGGCGGAGTAGCCTCGGACGAAGGCCGCAGGGGCCGCCTGGAGAAGCAGGACTCGACGCAGAGCACGGACAGCCTCAAGCGCAGGAAGAAGAAGAAAAAGAAGAAACAGCTCAACAGCCAGCACAGCCACGAGGACAGGCTGCAGGCAAAGCAGTCGGCGGAGGATGAGGTGACCGCAAGCGTTCGGGAGGTGAACCGGATGCTTGGCGAGCTGCAGGGTGGTGCCCAAGTGACGCCGGAGACCACCAGTGGAAGGAGCGAAAGGAGCCTGCTCTGTGTAGACCCGCGGCATCTGAACCCCGAAAACGAGATGAGGCGCATCTTCAGATCGAGAGTCGTCCAATCGGAGCAGGCGAAAAAGCGTGGCCGGGGTGGGCGTGTTTACGGCAGATCTGGCATCCTGGTGCAAGGTCGTAACTGGTCGCACATCGGAAAGCCAGGAATAAGCATGGAAATGGTGGAGACAAGGGGCGAAGTGCATCACTTTACCTTCGAGCACAGCAAGGCCTACCAGGCCATCCAGTTCCAGTTCCTAGATGCCGTTGAGACCTTCAACCCAGACAACATTGTGGCCCTTCTGAACATACACCCGCTGCACGTGGACTCTCTAATTCAGTTCAGCGATGTCTGCAAGATGGGAGAAGACCTGCAGATGGCTGCTGAGCTCATTGAGCGTGCCCTCTACTGCCTGGAAAGCTGCTTCCACCCGCTGTTTAACGTGACCCAAGGCACGGGTCGCCTAGACTACCGGCGCCCAGAGAACCGCTCTCTTTTCCTCGCGCTCTTTAAACACCTTCACTTCGTCGGCCAGAAAGGCTGCCCCAGGACTGCCCTCGAGTTCTGCAAGTTGCTCCTCGGGTTAGACCCAGAGAACGACCCGCTGTGCGCCACCCTGATGCTGGACTACTTTGCACTGCGGCGGACCAGTATCAGTACCTGGTACGCCTGTACCAGGAGTGGGAGCCCTCTCGAAACCTGTCCCAGCTGCCCAACTTCGCCTTCTCGGTGCCCCTGGCTCTCTTCCAGCTGGCCAGGGCGCAGAGGGACCACCAGGGCGGCGCCACAGGGGCGCACGCGGACCGCCACGCCGGCACTCCCGTGTCGGAAGAAGACGCGGACCGCATGCTGCAAGACTCCCTGATAATGTTCCCGGGCGTGCTGACTCCGCTACTCGACAAATGGGAGCAGCTCACGTGAATGCTGGACGGCGAGGCGCTGTGTGACCACATCACACATGGCTGCCACCTTCAAAAGCAGTTCGGCTTGCGCATCCGCCGAGCTCGTTCCGGGATTCCCGCTTGCTTCGGGCTTTTCGCCATCCTTCGTCTCGGACCGTAGTGTGGGAGACATGGCGGAAAAAAACAAACACAAAGCAGACAAGAAAAAGGGTGTGCGGCAACAGACGGTAACTCGACTAACGCAAGATTAACACGCCCCCAAAGCGTCGCCCGCGTGATTAAGCAATGCTTTGCGGCTCCAATTCAACGGGCAATCGCGCTGTCGTGAATACACGCAACGCCGACACGGTGCACTACTTCGAAGAGAAACGCCACAGTTGAAAAATCTTACCTAGCGATGAAACCCCAGACCCGCGTCATTTCGACAGGAGGGCAGCAAAACACGTTGGGCGTCATGTGGGAAAGTTGCCTTGCTGCGTGCCCAACCCGGCGGAACAACACGGAGCCAGGATTTCGGAAAACGTGAAGCTACATTTATTAGTAAATTGTAAACAAGAAGTTAATATTAACAAGGTCGTTGGTCGACACCGCCGCAGCGTGTACCTTTCGCTCCAGGCCCCGCTTCTCTCTCCCTTGGTCGGCGTCCCCGCTGCTGCTTTTATGCGTTCTTTCACAGGGGGTAACGCCCCCCGCGCTCTTTACACACAGTGGCGCCCCTATAGCGTCCACACAGTTCAGTGTGAGACGTTACCTTTGTACGCCGAAATAATTTTACTTTTCCGGGGCCCATGCAGGGGTAGATTTAGAGGGGGGGGGGGGGGGGGGGGGTCCGGATGTCCTGACCCCTCTCTTGATTTCTGCATGTGTAAAATTCAGGGCATAAGACGAGGGAGAGGGTGAGAGGGTTCCTAAACATATGGTACGATGACCAACACCTGACCCCCCCCCTCAGAAAATTCCTGCATCCGCCCCTGGGCCCATGCGTACAAAATAGTTCCTGACCGGAATGACCATTAAGTTGGTCAGAATATCTGACTGCAAAGGGTTAATATTTCACTTTTAATTTGAGAGGCGTTATTAGTAAATGTGCAGCAGATGCGAGAGTTTATAAAAGCTTTAGGAAAAGGACTACTCTTTATTTTATTATTTTGTAAAAAGGATGCATTTGTGTGGGCAAACCAAGATTCTAAGAATTTCTGTCGACATCACCTCGCCTCCTTCAGCAAAGTCGTTGCCGCCACAGTGCTGAAGGTGTGCTCTTGCAGGGGAAGCAAATTATTTAACAAATTTGTTTCTTCTGTTGTGTGAAGTTGGCATGCTTATTTTTCTTTTCAATCTTTTGCTAGCTGTTCATACTCGACACCTGATTGTATGCTCTTACTGTTGATAGTCTGTTGAAAGCAGACTGTCAGGAGTACTATTTTTGCATTTTGACACCATCAATAGTCACTTTATCAATAGTTGTGCATCACTAGTAGTGTCATTGCAGTCAAGTCTAACTCGCTAGTTAACCCTCTGGCAGATTCGTTTTTCTTCTCGAAAGGTATTTCCCTGTGGTCAAGTTCTGTTTAAAAAAAAAAATAGTATAAAAAAAGTCAATGCACAGGTTTTTTTTTTGGTTTTTTTTTGGTTTTCTTAATTATCTTGTGGGAGCATGTAGAATGCTTGCAAGCTGTTTAGGTTCAGAAGCATCAGATGAAAATGTTGAGGCCGAAAAGTTGTCCCCTTTCTTTTATTCTGTTTCATTTTGGCGCCTTCACCTCCATGATATTCCAGCTGGCTCAGATTCCTAGCTGATAGTGTTTTGCAGAGCTTCGGTGTCGGATGATGAGCTCATCCTCTGAATTTAAATCCGGAAAGAGTTGGAAATCTGAATCAAAAGAGCCAGTGTTCCCATTGGCACTACCATCGGAGCGACTGATAGGCAAAGTGAAAACCACGTGCACAGAGTGTCTAATTAGAAACTATAAATAGCCCAGCAAAGAGAAACACCGTGCAAATACAACGTTTATAGTTCGCCAAAGACATAACAAATAGCAACACCTCCCGCAGTGCACAGGGTTTCGCGTTTAAACTGACACTTTGAGATGTGTATTCACTGCTATAGACCGACACGCTGTTTACAAACAAGCCCGCGTTTGCCCACACCAGGTGTGGGCACTGCGCGTGCGCACGAACCGAATTTGCGCGAAGTGAGGCGTCTGCGCATGCGCCGTGCCGTCTACAGCGCCACCGCGGTTGTGTGACGTCAAGGCCGCGTGTTGGTCTATACATTGACGGCGATGACTGCCGAAGGGTTAAAGGGACCGTGCAACAATTTTTGGCCTTCGGTCAAATAATTGGGAAAGTTGTTCTCTGTCACGACTGAAGTAAAAAAACTGACGACAAATTTTGCCTAAGTGTGTTAGACCCCTTTTTTAAGAAAGAAAAGTCATACAATTGAAGCTTTAGACGCCTCCCAGCCACCTTCAGATCGTACACCTTCTTCCGAGTCACGTGCGCAGTGACGGCAATACCGCCAGATTCTCTTTTATTCTTCATCCAAATGCCTACTTCACGAGGAATGAACAGATTAATAAATTTCTTAATCGTGCAGCAATTAGTGTTTATATCATTCTCTTGTTTTCCAAGTTGAGTAAAAACTTGGTATTGTTTTTTCTTGCTTTAGGCGTACGACTGGGCCATGCAAGCTTTGATGCAGCTCAACTCCAATGCCCACCCTAAGGTTGGAAACTCCTCTTCTTGTTGTTGTACTGTTGTTGAGATTGCCTCTCAGAATGAGTCGCTTCGAAATCATCTTCAAAATTTTGGATGGAGTATGCGGTCCAAAAAAAACAGCTGGCTTTAAATATCAAAATGAATATTGAATGTGCACATAATGAACGAAGTGGCTAAGAGCTGCCACTGAACAACATTATTTAAAGCTTTTATCATTGAAATAGTGTCTACATGTCGTGACATTTACTTTTTTGCTTTTTCAGTCAATAATCGACGTCTTGAGGCAGGCCTCAAAAGTGAGTGACTTCCTAAAGAATTGCTTACACTAGATTTGTTATACTTTATGCGCTTTTACTAGGTTTCAAATACTATAAGAGAAAGGGGTGAGGACTTCAAAGGGTTTTGATCCTTGCTCTGTATTTTGTGGTGGTTTGTTCAATGCAGTATGACTAGCTTTCAAATGACTTGGAAGAGATTTTGGCCCTTGCTCAGTACTTTGTGACAATTTGCAGTCACGGTTACAGTTGGATTACCTCGTTCAGTGCACACCCAGGCTGCCTCGGTTGCTCGTACCAGTGGAGCAAAAGTGGAGAGGCCACAGCCTGTCTGATGTGATGTTAATGAGGCTGTATTAGGCTATCCAACAACCCTGTAAAGGCTGTTGGAGGGGCCCCTGTCTGTCCTCCACACACACTAATGCACCCTAAGGGAGGGGCCGGTAGCCAAGAGTGTTAACCCACCGCAGCTTTGAATCCGTCATACCTGACAGATTCAGATGCTAGGAATTGAATTCACCTAGGGTATACTTGAAGATGTGAGCTTTATCGAAATCATCGCACACTTTTTACGTTGTGCACAGTCAAGAAACTGCCTGGTTATGGGACTTGCTTCAACTAATGTTGGACTTGGCTTTGCCTGTAGTGCATCCTAAGGCTGTTTCCACCATTTGCTTTGTCTTGCTACTCAGTTTTCCATTCATTCACTTGGGATGGGAGGCTGGAAGGCTGAGATCTGTTCACTTGTTTCGAACAGGCCTGCGTCGTGAAGAGGGAATTCAAGCAGGCAGAGCTCCTCATCAAGCAAGCCCTTCATATGGCATGGTGAGCTGTTTTATGACATATTTATGCAACCATCCTGGGAAGCACCCTGCTTTGTTCTGCTCTCTGCAATAACTGCACTTATGGTACTGAATGTTTTTTGCTGTTTGAGATGAAAAACTGGTAGGGAAATACGACTTTCCAAATTTTAATACAAATTAAGCGTGAAAGATGTGAAACGCTGAACTTAAAATACCGAATCAGTCGTTGAGTGCCATGTACCTCGAGGGAAAAGGTGCCTAGAAGTTGGTAATTGGGCAATGTTAAACCTCGTACCGCCTTTATATGTTGCGTTGTTGTTAGGCTTGTGTGTCCAACGAAATGGTAGCCTTTTTGATTACTCCTGTTTGCTGTGGCGTACAGGGAGCACTTTGGCAGGGAGCATCCAAAAACGGCAGACACATTGCTCGACTACGGCTTCTACCTGCTCAACACGGACTCTGTGAGCCAGTCGGTGCGGGTGTACAGGGTGAGTTGGCTTTTCTTCTAGTATGTGTCTGTGTGGGTTAAAGTCAGAAGATTGAACATTCCTCATCTTCTGTCAACACTTGGCATTTCTATTTGAACACAGTTCTTGCGGCTCTGAAGATATCTGGTTCCTGATTCCTATACATAGTTTTGATGCAACTGCTTTGTTACACAGCATTCTACCCTAGTCACATCAATGTTCTCAACTGCTGTTATGACAACAGCAGTTAACAACCATCAACTGTAATTATACCACATTTCTTTCTTAGTGCACGGTGCTGTCAAAACTACTGGTGCAAGCGCGCGGTTTCATCTAGCGTGCATCATTCGCTCTTGAGTGTGCGTGCAAGAGCACATGCGGATGACCCGTAAAATCATGTTGCATGCTCGCTCCAGCAGCAGTGACTGTGTTGCACGCCAAGTATATGAAACGGAGGTTTATAGTGAAGAATCTGGAGTTGGGCAAGTTACTGCTAACTGCTACTGACAGCAATTGGTAATTGGGGGCAGTTATAGGAACCACCAATCACCATTGCATTCATTTGATTGTTGCAATTGTTACTTAAAGGGGCTGTGCAACGATTTTCAGACTTTGGCACTTTGGCCAATTAACTGCGAAAATTAATCTGCGTCACCTATGGAACGAAGAGCAGAAAACCGTATTTTCTTGCGAGTGCCAGTTCTTATTTAAAAAAAATTGAAACAAATCGAAAGCGCCTCTCTACTCTCCACGTCAACTTTCGAGTGACGTACTCTGGGGGTTCACGTAGTTTCCCCTTGGGTCCTCTCTTCAGAGACCAGCCGCTTCCTTTGCGATTGACGACTTTTAAAGGATTAGCCTCGTCGAAGGTCGCGGCGAGCGATCAACACAAAGGACGGTTCGCCACGGGGCTGACGGCGAGTGTAGCAGCGGAGGAGTACAGGTTTTGTTGACTTCCACGCATCCCCCAGAAACGGTGTCATTTTAGTTCCTGTAACCCCGACAGGCGGCTGCAGATCCGCAAATAATTCGTTTTTCGCTTTGCGATTACGCAGCAGAATAGCATTTTTACGGGGAAAGATGTGTTTTTGGTCACTTGGGTTTGCATGAACAATATAAAAAATGCAAACTGCCAATTATTGCGACATTAATATCATTGCACTGCCCCTTAAGCGAGGACACTACCTTAATATTGCGATTTCTTGTCAAAAGTCACATTTTTGGCAAAAAGCCTTATCAGCTTTCAGATATACCGGTATGTGCTGTCAGAACGTTTCACTTCTCTGACCAAAGTATTTTGGAATAAAATTATTTCTAACATGCCGGCACCTTCTAAACTGCAGCTTTCTAAACTTTCAAACATGTTCATCTGGTTTACTTTTTGGCATCAAATCTTGGATCAGGAAAACCATCATTTGATAATCAGTTGATGTGTGCAGCCAGTTTTTGAAGCTCCTTTACTGAAATTTTTTAAGGAATGCGACTGTGAGCTTATTTCCTACGTTTTCATAACCTTTTGTTATGAAAACTGTAGTATCTTCAACCATTTGTATACAAGAAAAGAATCTTTTTTTAAACTTTGTTGCTTTTATGTGATATAATTTCCATAATTTCTTTCTACAGTTGCATAACATGGGTGTTGTAGTGTATGTTTTGCCAAAAGAACTGGCCATTATCGTTATTTTTTCTAAACGATAGTTCTCCTCGGGGGCCACAGTGTTTATTTAGTGTCCCTCTACGTAACTTTTTGAAAGACAAATTTATAAGCTTAAAACTTTGCATGTCACCCTCTTTCCCAGCTATAAATGTGCCTTGCAAATTTCATGCAAATAAAACTAATAATTAAAAATATAGCCTCAAAAGAAAATTTTTTTTTTTTCTTTTCAGGTTAAAATTTTTTTTTTGAAATTTTCCGAAACGATTAAAGTTGATGCTTGGACATTACCCACAAAATTCGAAACTTGGTAACTCAGTATGTGTAAAGTAAAAAAACAATTTCCCCAAGTTGAATTGGAGGTTCCTGCTTGATCCGTGCCAGTGCAGTGATGTCAAAGATTGAGTGGCCCTGCAACTCGAGTTCCTCTCATGCCTCCGAACCGGCCAGACCCGAAACGTCGTGTTCACCCGCGCCCCACAATCACGCTCTTCTCTGTGCCTACCGCCTACCGCTGCGAGCAGGCGACGCTTCACTTTCGAGTTTGAACTTCTTTTAAGACCCTTTCAGCAATCTCAAATTCTTTGAAACGGTGTGAAGTTGAAGAGAATGCGCAGTGAACTTTTGTAAACAATGGGAGGGGCCACGTCATGCCGGTTCTGCGTAAAAGGCTGCCTCGGCGGAGTCACAGCCGAAACTACGGTACACAGATGCCAAACCCAGTTGTTCTGACCGTCTGTCGATTTCCTTTTCGAAGTCAGAGAGGTCGTCGGGCACCTAAAGAAGACAACTTCGTCCGATTCCCTGACTCACCGATCATCCAACCTGTGCCGAGCGCCGCCATGTTTTCTGAGGAAAGATAAAAAGCCAGTAGGCGACATCACTCCGGCTTCCGATTTTTGGTATTTCAAAAAGAAGGGCCGTAGTGCATTTGCAATTGTGTTAAAAAACATGTTTTACGAATACCATTATTAAATATAGAAATGTCGCTTACAAAGCTTCTTAATTTCATAAAAAAAATTTGACGTCACAAATAAAAGAAGCGAGGAGGTGAGAAGAGGGAGAGAAGAGCGAAAAAAATAAAACAGCGCACGTGAGAAATTTTTTTTTTTTCGCGTTGTGGTATTTTTTTGTGTGTCTATGACTACAGTTTGCACCGTTCGAGACAACAACAAAAAATAGGACCTTTGGTGTGTCAGTGCCCCTTCAAGCGCAGTGGTAGTCGGCGCTGCCGTGCAACTGCATCCGAGCGTAATTAGGGCCAACTGTCGGGCCTATTTTACGAGGGTGCAGCGGTGTTTGGTTGTTGCAGAGTGTAGCAGTACTTACCGTTGCTCCAATGGGTGAGGCCGGTGGCAAGTGCAACAGGGCGGTCTTTTAGTTTCTGCGTGTGCCAAGGATTGTTGAAAGCTGGTCTACTCCGGCTGCTATCCATCTAGTGCAGTGATTCTCAGCATCTAAAGTATTGGGGACCCCTTCTGAATTGGCAGAAGGTTATAAAAGGTTACAAACTTTGAAGCTCTAAAACATAGACTAATGAGCCCTACTCACTCAGCACACATGTAAAACAGTCGGCATGAAAGATATACTTTATTGCTCGGTTGAGGGCTTCAGAGAGTCTAAGAAGGCCTTCAGGGACCCGGTCTGTGCACTCTTATTTGAGAACCACTGATCTAACGGCTTTAGAAAAGCAGCTCTGCTTGAAAAGCACAATACAGTATTTGAGTTTGAGGTTTTTACTTCTCTAGTCAATATCTTAGGGGGAATGGCCCTCACTGAAAGTGGCACAGCCTTCCTCCTTGAATAATAGTGGCACCATTTACGAACAAAGCCAGCACGTTTATTTTCCTCCAGAGCACATAGATAGCCAATAATTTCAATCAATAAAACGATTACGATGAATAATGGAACAGAGAGAGTAATTTCTTTACACGAAAATGTGCTTTGCTTTGTGACACCATAAGCACAATGTTTCTCACGTCCATGACTTAGTGCAGATCAGTTTCACAAATAAATGTTTTATTAGCCTCGTTCTTCGCTAAGTTTCTTTTGCAAATGCAATGATTGGCTTACGTGGACTCTATGGGAAAGAGACATGGTGGGCCCTGTTTGTAAAGGGTGCAAATATAGCTCGCTGAAGTAGGTATAAACGGGCTACGTCAGTCTGATAATGTATCAATCAATTGATTGTGTGAAAGTTACACTGTATTATCCTGCCCCGTGTTTCGCATGCAGAAAGTGCTAGACATACGGCAGAGCGTTCACGGCGGCAACAACCTCCACGTGGCAATCGCTCACGAAGACTTGGCCTACTCGTCGTACGTCTTGGAGTACCGGTCCGGAAGGTTCCAAAATGCGAGGCAAGCTCACAGATATGTTTCCTTTTTTTAATTTGGTTGCTGTTTTCCAACATCCAGGTATAGTGTTTATCGAAGAAAAGTATGCCTGCTGTACCAATTTCATTGCTCTGTCTTTTTATCCGTGTCTTAGTTGTGTGTGACTGTGCTGAAAAATTGAGTGTCTTTAAACAATCTTACTGTTCCTAATTATAAAAAGAAAACAGTATTTAACAGCGTAATCGCACGACGGAAATTTTCTCCGAGGAGGGGATTGAACGTCGTTGAGTTTCGAGGTCACGCGCGTTTGCTAACCCCCGAACTCGCGGGTAGCTGCGGAGAATCTGCGACCTGCCTACGGAATACATCCGTCGTTCTGTCGGAGTGACCGCTCCTCTCGCTTTTGGAGAAGGATTACGACCAGCAGCCTTCAGCTTTGGGGTGCCTCTCTTTGCTTTCTCTCTCTTCCTGCCTTTTGTTTGATGAGCCCCCGAAGGTCGCAAACACGTTCACGAAAAGAAAGACTGCCGACTCAACTACGTGAGGCTCCCTAGTTCAAATGCTCGCTCGAATTTTCTGCACCGTCTCCTCCTCCTCACGGCCTTTCCCCCTCACAGATTTATGGCATAACTTAGTTTTCTCCGAAGACAAAGATCTGCCGTGTGAACGCACCATAAAAGTTGATGGTCATGTCTGTAAGTCCAGGTGTGAATGTTTGGTTGTGGCATAATATATGGTAATTGTGAAATGTGCATTTCTTTTTGCCAAATAAAGGTTTGATTTGTATTGAAAATTTTAGCTATTTACTCGTATGCATCTTTAATTTGTACTCGCATCACCTTCACATTTCAAGTTAGGAGTGGCCCAGTTTTGATTTAGCGAGACAGGTCACCCAGATGCTCAACTCTAGTTAAGGAGGCTTTATGTGAGCACTCTGCAGTTTTCTCTTTCACCAAGGAGAACCTTTATAGATAAAATTGCGGTGTTGTGTATCACTTCTCATAGATCGAACCGTCTCTATGCAAGGCTCTGCCAAAATTGGAGAGTTGACCAATATGAAAATTTTCCATCACCGAACTTGGCGAGCATTCTTTCGGCCACGTGCTGGAAGACGTGCTTACCCCAGAACGGGACTGCACTGCAGTAAGGTTCGCACAAAGTGGGAGCCTTCGATGGTACACGCACACTCCCACCCTTTTCACTGCAATGTCCTAGAAGGCCTTCCCAGTAATATGCCCACAGTTTAGGGGTTACCATTACTCCGAGTGTATGAGAGAGCTTGCAAATTGCATTTTTCCCGTTTTATTGTCGACTGGTCATCTACGTCAACACTGAATCGAAAGTTTTATTTTCTGATTGCTGGATTACGTGTGCTCTCAGTAGCCTTGTGCAAAGCTTACCTTACAGCGGGTGCTCTCGAATTTATAGATCTCGAGGAACCCTCATCTGACCCAAACAAAAGCTGCGGATTCCTTCCAATTTTCGGTGTTGGTACAACAAAGCAATCTGAAAGCTTGCAGACCTAATACATAGCAATGCACGCACCAGCGGGTGTCTGGCTCATAGTAATGCATCGATGGATGACTCAAGTCTGCTAAAGTAGTGCTGAAATCGGAAACACGCCTTAGTACTTAGAGGCATGGATGGTTAAGGACATCTGGGAGCTGGGGGGTTCCTGTGTTCCTATGAACCCAGTTTGGAGAACTCCTGCCTTACAGTCTCGGTCTTTTCCGTGCAGAGACCATGCCGAAAAGGCCATGCTCATCATGACCCGCCTGTTGCCAGAGGATCACCTGCTCTTGGCATCTTCAAAGAGGGTCAAAGGTAACATTACCCGCACTGTCGCCCCAAAGCTTGAGGCACGTTGAATTTGTGCGTAATATTTGCATCCCTTGGCTGTTTGACCATGGAGGGTTAACAATGGCGATGGGCCGAACTTTTGCCGAATCGAAAATTCAGCGCTGAATCATAGGGTTCGGCAATGCCGAATTTTCGCCGAACTTTTCTAAAGATTCGGCAAAAATACATTGTTGGCAAACCTAAAAGTTGATATATCATTTTTGCGTGCAAAGGAAGTTTTTAGGGTTTTTTAAGAAACATATTGACACAGTTATAACTAAATAAGCTGATATTCTACAATTTAATTTTATCGGTGTCATTTTTGTTTGTTTACTGGTAATTTTAAAGCGACTTTTTGCAGACATGGTGTCACAATGGGGTTTGGATATAGGGGGCGCAGTCAGTGCAGTCACGATACGCGAGTTTCGGTTTTGAGGCCTTATCAGTGCACGCCTGCAAGTGTGTGTTCTTGAAATAAAGGCGGTAACACTGTCCTTACTTTCTCCACCTTCTCTACGAGTCACCGCTTTGTGTACGAAAATGAATGCAATGGCTGCTGAACCTTCAGCAAAAGAGATAACAAAATTATTGTAAGTATGCATGTTTGAGTTTTTTTTTGAGTGACAAAGTGACAATTTGAGTCACTTCAGCTTAGCATAAAAGTGTGCGTCCCATATTCGCAACATCTCTTTTTTCACTTTTAAAATGCCGGTTTCTGATGTTTGGACACACCAGACATTTAGGAAGATGGGAAGAGTTAGGAATGTCATATGTGCAACGTTGAGCATGATAGTTGTGTATTTAGTTTTATGTGGATCGATGAAAACCGCAAAATAATTTAAAAGCAATATTATTTTGTTTTGGAACAAACTACTTGTAATCATGTCGTATTACACCTGAGACTGCGGTGGAAGAAATCGGAAGAACTTTCAGTAGAAGGAACAGACACAGAGAACGTCTCAAACTCAGCTAACTGGTTTATTTCTCAAACAGCCTTTAAGTACCCTCGGAAATTTTTCCCAACTACAGTCTACACATAAACTCCTTTGTTGCAGACATTTCGAACCGGATGGATACAAAAGATACAAAACAACCCACACATGAGATGAGGACTTAACAAAGGGACACTGCGGATCATCGCAGTGACCTTGAGAGAGATATGTCCCGACTTATCCTAACCGTCGCGTCAAAACGCACACAATTAAAAAAAAAAAAAAACCACAGGTGGCCTTTAAACCGTGGCGACGCACCCAGACATAAAGAGAACACCTTTTTTTTTTTTTTTTTCCCTTTTTTTTGGGGGGGAAAACACACCCAAGTGATCTCAAAACCGCAATCACAAACACATAAAAAAAAAAAAAGAAAAAAATTTTAGATGTATATACACATATACATTGTCTCCCCCCCCCCTTTTCTCGTAAAAAAGAATGCGTTCGTTCAAAGTCTTGAGAAACTTTTTGGAGTTGCGTCCAAGTTGCATCGATGCTTGGCTTATGCAGTTTCCAATAGAACTTATTCTTATTGTTTCTTTAACAACCCTCTTAATGTAATTTCGCTCTTTATGCAGAACTTCTGTCTCTGCCCAATGCGCATTACAATTATCGCATTCCTCTATGTGTTTTGCTATTTCGGAGTTCGGCGCATGCGTGCATACATTTCTCTTGTGTTCTAGTAGCCTGTCATTGAGGCATCTTGAAGTTTGTCCCACGTACCTAAATCCACATGTCAACGGAATCTCATATACTACACTCTCTTTGCAAGGAACTGAAGGTTCCTGATGGGCCTTCTGACAACCCTTGTGGTCCGACAGAAAGGGCGTCAACCTGCTCATTTTTAAATCTGAAGAAAACACTACGTCCACGCCGAACTTTTTTGCGAGAGCCTTTAGGTCGTGGGAAATCCCGTGGAAATACGGGATTACTGCTATCTTCTTTCTTGCTTCCTTTTCCCGTGGTTCGTTGTTAAATTTCAGTTCTAATTGTCTTTTAATGAATTCTTCTTCATAACCTGCAGATTCTAGCCTCCTCCACTGTTCTTTCACAGCACTACTCATAAAATGAGCACATGATTTACCCAACGCGTTTGTTACTAAGGGCTTAACTACCCCTGCTCTAACCGACTTGGCGTGACAACTCTTTCTACTTAACACAGGTTTTCCGGCTTTCTTCCCATATTCCCAACAAAGACCTTGTTCGACACGTACGCGTAAATCTAGAAACTGCAGGATCCCATTTTCAGGTTTTTCAGTTGTAAACCTAAGCTCCAGAGCTGCTGCTTTTATAATCGATTCTAAACCCTGAGCATCATTCTCTCGAAAAGCGCAAATAAAAATATCATCCACGTACCTTTTAACAATGCAACCATTCAAGTTATTCTCTTTAAGTGCTTCACTTACGCAACAAGATAGATTTCTGCTAACATCGGAGCTACCGAAGATCCAATGCATACACCATCTCTTTGAACATATTTCTGCCCATTATATTCAACAACTGTTGCTTGAAGGTACAAATCAAGAAGTGAACGGAAACTGTCGACGGCAATGCCCGTCCTGGACTGAAAGTTTACCAGGTTTAACTCTAGCACCTGCCGAACTCTTTGCATCAAGCGCACTTTCTCAAGCGAATAGTATAGATCCTTAATGTCCATTGACATTACAGTGCATTGTCTTCCATGAAAGCCCTCTAGAACATCAATTAGTGCCTCTGAATTTCTCAGTGAAAGACTCCCCTCCAGTTGAATTACATTCAGCCCTCTTTGCAAATTACATTCAACCCTCTTCGCCGTCGACAGTTTCCTTTCACTTCTTGATTTGTACCTTCAAGCAACAGTTGTTGAATATAATGGGCAGAAATATGTTCAAAGAGATGGTGTACTATGCATTGGATCTTCGGTGGCTCCGATGTTAGCAGAAATCTATCTTAACACCTTAGATAGTTGCGTAAGTGAAACACTTAAAGAGAATAACTTGAATGGTTGCATTGTTAAAAGGTACGTGGATGATATTTTTATTTGCGCTTTTCGAGAGAATGATGCTCAGGGTTTAGAATCGATTATAAAAGCAGCAGCTCCGGAGCTTAGGTTTACAACTGAAAAACCTGAAAATGGGATCCTGCAGTTTCTAGATTTACGCGTACGTGTCGAACAAGGTCTTTGTTGGGAATATGGGAAGAAAGCCGGAAAACCTGTGTTAAGTAGAAAGAGTTGTCACGCCAAGTCTGTTAAAGCAGGGGTAGTTAAGCCCTTAGTAACAAACGCGTTGGGTAAATCATGTGCTCATTTTATGAGTAGTGCTGTGAAAGAACAGTGGAGGAGGCTAGAATCTGCAGGTTATGAAGAAGAATTCATTAAAAGACAATTAGAACTGAAATTTAACAACGAACCACGGGAAAAGGAAGCAAGAAAGAAGATAGCAGTAATCCCGTATTTCCACGGGATTTCCCACAACCTAAAGGCTCTCACAAAAAAGTTCGGCGTGGACGTAGTGTTTTCTTCAGATTTAAAAATGAGCAGGTTGACGCCCTTTCTGTCGGACCACAAGGGTTGTCAGAAGGCCCATCGGGAACCTTCAGTTCCTTGCAAAGAGAGTGTAGTATATGAGATTCCGTTGACATGTGGATTTAGGTACGTGGGACAAACTTCAAGATGCCTCAATGACAGGCTACTAGAACACAAGAGAAATGTACGCACGCATGCGCCGAACTCCGAAATAGCAAAGCACATAGAGGAATGCAATAATTGTAATGCGCATTGGTCAGAGACAGAAGTTCTGCATAAAGAGCGAAATGACATTAAGAGGGTCGTTAAAGAAACAATAAGAATAAGTTCTATTGGAAACTGCATAAGCCAAGCATCGATGCAACTTGGACGCAACTCCAAAAAGTTTCTCAGACTTTGAACGAACGCATTATTTTTTACGAGAAAAGGGGGGGGGGGGGGGGGGGGGGAGACAATGTATATGTGTATATACATCTAAATTTTTTTTTTTTTTTTTGATGTGCTTGTGATTGTGGTTTTGAGATCACTTGAGTGTGTTTTCCCAAAGAAAAGAAAAGGGGAAAAAAAAAAAGTGTTCTCTTTGCTTATAATTAGAATGCAATTAAATGCAAAGGTGCAAGCGAGCTGGACAAGAATGATGAAAATAGTCCCTGGAGAAGGGGAACAAGAGGGACAAAGGACAAACACAAATCAGATTTGTGTTTGTCCTTTGTCCCTCTTGTTCCCCTTCTCCAGGGATTATTTTCATCATTCTCTTTGTGGTCTGGGTGCGTCGCCACAATTTAGAGGCCACCTGTGGGTTTTTTTTTTTTGTTTTTTTTTTATTGTGTGTGCGTTTTGACGCGACGGTTAGGATAAGTCGGGACATATCTCTCTCAAGGTCACTGCGATGATCCGCAGTGTCCCTTTGTTAAGTCCTCGTCTCATGTGTGGGTTGTTTTGTATCTTTTGTATCCATCCGGTTCGAAATGTCTGCAACAAAGGAGTTTATGTGTAGAGTGTGGTTGGGAAAAAGTTCCGAGGGTACTTAAAGGCTGTTTGAGAAACAAACCAGTTAGCTGAGTTTGAGACGTTCTCTGTGTCTGTTCCTTCTACTGAAAGTTCTTCCGATTTCTTCCACCGCAGTCTCAGGTGTAATACGACATGATTAGCTACCACCAGCTCGCCTGCACTCTCACCGTCTTTTCACTAAAAAACTACTTGTGAGCGGAAACAGGATTGCTATAATGGTGAGGAGTGCTTTAAAACACTTGTCAATCAATGTTGCAACTACCTCGTTGCATCACCGGAAAGATTAAATGAAAATCACGTTATCCCGAATCAGTTGGCAGTCAGTTGCACAGTGGACTGGGTCATTTTTGCATCAATTTCTGGTCAGTCTTCCGTTTTTGATGCAGAAAATATTGAAGAGAACGGCACTCACAAAAGCTGACAAACACACAGTTACCATGTTGTCCACTCCGCACCCCACCGTAACTGCTGGTAGCGCTACACTGTACGATGGTAACCACACCACCACAGGGCGTTCATTGGAAATCCATGGCCCCGTTGAGTTCTCATGCATGCGCAGACGTTTGCCGAATCTTAGCCGAACTTTCCTTCAAAAGTTCGGCATGTGCGGAACTTTGCCGACTCGAAAGTTCGGCAGATTATTGGTTGACAATCAGTTGGCACAATGTTTATATTGTGCTCTAACAATACAGGAGGCCAGGTGGCTTGCACGAGAGAACAAAATAATCGTCAAGAGTGTGTTTTGCCAATCCCAATACTAATATGCATCAGAATTCAGAATATAAACCAGGGTTATACAAGAAATGGCGAAGGTTTTGTGGTCTTACAATCCTGGACTCGTGAGGCATATTAGACATCTCAATTTCTATTAATTCCACCTTATATTGGCTCCGCGCCCGTTACCTAGGGGTGAATTTTAGAGTATTTTTATGCCATGAATCTGAATATCACGTTTGTTTTTTCCGAAGATGTTACTAAACGCTAGAAAAACCTTTGACTAGTTGTGACGTCATACCAAAATTTTTCGACCGCCAAGCATGTGTCGCTTGTGTGGGCAGCGCGTGCTGTTGCAAGCTTGCCAGGTATATTCCCCCGCACTGACACAGGTCTTGACGCCTGTTTCTGACCTTTCTGAGCTATGTAGACAAACAAGAGTTTGTCTACATAGCTTTGATAGGAGCTGGAGATGCACGAGAGCGGAGATTTCGTAAACTCCTTTTATGACGTCGTGCTCCAGGAAGGAGGGGCTTCAGTGGTACAGTGTAGACCGCACATAACATATGTCACGGGATTTGGGAAAATCCGCACTATAAGCGGTACCGCACGATAACCAAAACTTCAATTTTTCAGGTCAAAGTACATGCCATGAGACAACTTACCTTTGTAAAACAATTTATTTCATGTTAGATGAAAAATAGAGCTCAGTCTGAGGAAAGCTTTTATTTTACTAGACTTGTACACTTCTCTCTCAAGCATGTCGCACATTTTGAAAGAAACTAGTGATTTTTGCCTGGCGTTGCCTTTTTATTGGCGTTGCGGACGACCTGGTCTACGATAACGCTAAGGCATTTGAACACCTCATCAATAAAAGAGTTCTGCTCACAGTGAACCTTCGGTTTCTGTAAGAATTCCAGTACTTCCTTACTTGAAACTTCTGGCGTACTGTCTTCGTCGTCGTCCGACTCATCTTCGGGTGGACTTGCCCCAGAACCTCGCACCGCTGCAACAATAGCTTCATCGGTGGTTACTTCCTCACGGATAACAGAGTTATTGTCATCCTCATCTACATAGCTTTGAAACGTGTTGTTTGCAGGGACAAAGTGATTTTCCGTAAGGTCGGACCACAGATAGTCTGCGCCGATCGCCTCGTCAATCGCATCACTGCGCCAATTGGCGCTTTCCGAATTTTCGGCATTGCGCACAAACCCTGCATTACAAAAACACTTCTGTATGGTTTGGCTTTTACTTGCCACCACGACACGGTGATCACGTCGATGGCGCCCCTCAAGTCCACCGTGATGGGTTCCTCTCATTGCAATTTCAGGACAACTCTTTCGCATATGCGCTTCTTGTGACAGTACCTTGACGTTAGCAATGATGCCATGATCGAGAGGCCGGCTTTTAGCAGTGGTGTTTGCCGGCAGGAATGTCAAACTGACTGTGCCGCACATTGTGAGCTCTGCAGTTGTCCAGGATAAGAACGACGTGCCGTTTTTCCGCAACCATGGCCTCATCAAAACTTCTCAGCCAACTAGCAAAAAGCTCTTAGGTCATCCAGGCCTTTCCATTTGCTGTGTACACCACAGGCAGACATTCTCGCTTCTTGAAGCAACGAGGTCGTTACGATTTCCCGATGATAAATAAGTTCCGCTTGTCGGAGCAGTTCATGTTTGTACAAAACAAAACTGTGACATGTTCGTTTGAGACTTTGCGGCCGGAACAGGGTTCACCTCTCATCATGAGAGTGCGATCGGGAAGCATGTTGTAGCACAGACCAGCTTCAGCTTCATCGGCGTTATAGATGTCTTTGTGTGTGTAAGCGAAAAGCATTGTCTCGAGATGAATGCGAAACCACGCCTAAAGGCTTGCGTCGGCGATTTCCCCACTTTTGCCGAGATAACTTCGCAGCTAATCCCGTGGCAGTTTTAAACCGCTGGATCCATCCGTTGAGAGGGTTGAAGCCTTCGTGTTTGAAAAAATGTCGGAGGACCTAGCCTTCGCTTGTTGCATTGGGCCACACACTGGGACGTTCTTGACGTGCACTTATGAAACCACCTAAACAATGCTTCTTCGACGTCCTCATACTTAGGCGCACGAATCCTCTTTCTTGAGAGTGACATAGAATCTTGCTGTAGCTGCTTGCGTACCTGCTACCGGTTCTTCCAGACAGTGAAAACCGTTGCGTCAGCGACATTGTACTTGGCCACAACAGGGGCTTTTTTCATGCCACTTTCGACGTCTTTGACTATGCTCTGTTTAGTTTCGAGAGAAGGGGTTTGTCGTTTCTTGGCCATCTTGGGCTTGGGAGACAGGGACAGATCGACGATGGACGGTCGATTTCTGTACGATGTGCTTGACGCAGTCCAAACATCAGACGTGAGAGCAAGCCAGCAAGCTGCAAGAAGCAAAACTAGAAATTATCCAGCTGTCCAGCCTTAGTTTTGCGCGCGGTGTAAGAAAGGAGGTTGGTTTTGCGTCACTCAAGCGAGGGGGTGAAATCGAAATGGGCGAAATGCTTCGATGGCTCGTTGGGGCTTTGAATATGAGAAATTGGGAATCGGGATTCGGCTTGAGTGGCTCATTAAAACTTTGTCGCACCTCACCCCGTTGTCATTCGTTTCTTGCCTCTCTCTTCGCTTCTCCCGTGCAACCTCCTTGCCCCAGCGTGTGCAGCTTGCGCCGTTATCTGGTGTCGCACGGGGAAAGCGTGCTTCTGTGCCAGTCGCCTTTATTTCTGGTATTTCCCTTCATGTGCCTGCTTTTTAAGCAGTGTGTAATTACATGAGTCGTGTTGGTGGTTGAAAAAAGCTGCGGTTATATCTGATCCTGCACTGCAAGCGGTTACGTCTTAAGCGGCCTATACTGTACTTGGAAAACAATTTTTTGCAGCCTCCGTGCACCAAATTGAAACATAATCTCGATATTCGTGATTCTGGAGGCCAAATGAAGACGATTAAGTGTTTTTCCTCAAAAACAGAACTGCTTCAGCTTTCCTTTAGAGCAGGGCTGCACAACTCGGAAATGACGCGGGCCGAAAAAATGTTTATTGGCAACTATGCAGGTTTTTAATAACTGGCAGACAGGTTTTCAATATCTGGCATCATCGCACCGGTTGCCGCTTTGCATACATTTTGATGTGTCATGTCCGCAGGCTGCACAGGAAGTGCCCGCGAGCCGGATGCGGCCTGCGGGCCACATATTGTGCAGCCCTGCTCTAGAGGTACCTGGCAGCATCCATGCACCACAATGTGAAAATGCCCGACAAAACTGTTTCCATCTCTGCTCCATAAATAAAAGTAACTTTTTCTTTTTTTTCAACATTTTTAATGTGTTTTGGGGAAGTTTTACAGCTCGCTTTGTCACGCAAGCAATCTTAACGGCTTTTCGAAACTTACAAAGGTGGAGGCTTGGGCAAGTTGTTGATTCATTATGGGCAGCAACCGCATAAGAAGAGGCTAGGACAACAAAGGAGACACACAGAAGGACAAGGGCATAGGAAGACAAACTTTGCTCTTGTTTGTCTCTCTGTATGTCACCTAGGGTGCCTTCATGTGTGCTGAAGGCTCTCTGTCACCTGGTGTGGCCCAAGCGAAACCAGGGGTACCCTTTGATTGGACATTCCAAACGTCTGGTGCGTGTTGCAGCCCTGATCCTGGAGGAGATAGCAATCGACAACACGGACAAGGAGGCGGAGCAGCGGCTGCTCCAGGAGGCCCTGGACCTGCACGTATCGGCCCTGCGACTATCCTGCCAGGCCTTCGGCGAGATGAACGTGCAGACGGCCAAACACTACGGCAACCTGGGCAGGCTGTACCAGTCCATGCGCCGCTTCAAGGTCAGTCCCCTCCTCTGCAGTGAAGCCGTACGCATCCGCAGGCTGAATGTATAGATCGAGAGCTCATTGGCAAGGTTCTGTGGTAGCTGGGTACTTTACGACTTAAGTGACCACAAGGTTTCGTGCTGTTGCGTCTTGCACGGCTGTTGCATTGCTCTGTCCGTGTTCCTCAGGAGGCGGAAGAGATGCACCTGAAGGCGATCGACATCAAGGAGCGCCTGCTGGGGCCCGAGGATTACGAGGTGGCCCTGTCAGTGGGGCACCTGGCCTCCCTGTACAACTACGACATGAAGCTGTACAACCAGGCCGAGCAGCTGTACCTGCGCTCCATAGCCATCGGTGAGGCTGCCTCCCTTTCGCCAATGCCAACCGTGTCTATCGCTGCCCATTAAGAATGGATAACACTGTCGGCTTTCTATAATTTGAACCGCACGGGAACTGCGAGATACTTAAATTACGGTAGAGTCTCGATGATATGAATCTTGAGGGATCGCGGAAGATGTTTGTAGCATCCGAAATTCGTATGAACAAAAAACGAGTCACATACTGTATTTGCACAAATATAACGTGACCACGAATATAACGTGAGGGCAGTTTTAATGTCTTCAAGAAAAGAAAAAAAAAAAAATATTATTACTTACATAATGCGAGCCGAGGCTGCGTAAAAATTTACCGCAGTCGGGGGCATAGTAGAAATGAAAAGGCAATGGAAATCGAAGAAATATCAGTTTATGTTTTGACTGCACTCCTCCTCACTACTCAGGTCTTTCCGTTTTGCAATACACTTCACAACTTTGCAGATACGTAGCAGCACGGTACGGCTTGTCTGGTAGTTCCATTTTCTTCAGCGTAAGCCCCTCCAGAACGGACAAGCAAAGCAAGGCACGAAGCAGAAGCACCAACACACAGACACCAGACCACACTGGAGCAGAAACTAAAAAATTTGCTGGCAGAAAAAAGGGTGCTGAACCTGATACACGATCCCACACAAACACCTCGTGTTGCACGATTGCATAAACACGGTCCGTGGTCTTGGCTTGGCTTGTGTTGACTTGGCCTGGCTTGACTTGGCTTGGCCAGTGCCCGCATTCCCGCATGGCGCACTGAGTTTCTGTGGTGTGCGCGCGTTGTGCAAACACAAAAGCGATAAAAATGGTTTTTATGTTTTCTATTTGCCCCTCCTCATGGCCCAATTGCTAATAAATTCCCTCCCACACCACCACTTCCTTTCCCACCTAATATCTTGCATTGAGCCAATGGGATGGCCTTCTCCAGGCTCGTGCGCCTCATGGCTGAACTTAATTCCAAATATAATGCGAGGTGCGTTTTGGAGCACGTAATTTCGGAAAAAGTCACATTATATTTGTGCGAATACGGTAAGTACATGAAAGCAAGGAGGGGGCAACTTGCAATTTATTGGTCACACTCCCGGACAGAGGGGTCAGTAATATTCTTTCTAGACTTCTTTTTTTTTTATGTCACTCAGGAGACAGTTCTCGAACGTGTAAAAACGTGCACACGTGTCGTCGCTGACACTGATCGAGCTCGCTATGCACCGCAGCACGTCGAGAGATATCCGCCCAAAAGTTGGTTGAAGAAAATCGCACAGAGTTCAACAGACGTGCGTGTGCAAACAAAGGATGCTTGCTTGTTGTCGATCGCTTGATCAACGCTGATTCTGAATGCCATTTCTCATGTTCACTCGAGTGATTGAAAGTTACTACAACCAGTTTATCACGTGAGAATAAAAATAAAGCAGCAACCCTGGAGTAGGTGAATGCAATTTACTCCAGCAAGTCGAATTCGAATCGCGTGACAACTCAGATAGTGCAGCAACGCTGGATGTCGGTATGTTTTTGAATCTTGGAACGCAGCCACGGTTATTGTGATTGCACGACGCGTATGCAGGAAGAATGGCAAAAAAATGACACAAAAACGCCTGCTACGGTTGTCTTTATTATAGAAATTCAATTTGTTTTGAGACAAACTTCCCAAAGTGAAATCAATTAACATAAGTGTAATAATACAATAGCACATGTAAGTATGTGAATACACAACACCGAACCCTATAACATGCATAGATACATACCATTTAGTGAAAAGTAATGCACCAAAATCAAATACCGCACCTCTTTGCATCCTCTGCAGCAGGGTCGAGTAAGGAGAGGCACTCAGCAAGCCGTTTCTATTGTGCACTGCTCCTGTTACTTTGGGACATATGCAGGCTGCAATTCCGCTACAGATGTCAGTCTTTCCCGGAAACAGCCAGCTCATGTTTCAGCATATCCCCCGAAAATGCCAAAAAAACAAACTAATGAGAGTGTGAATGCAATAAAGCAAAAACATTTTTTTTTTTTACATCATGTGGATGTACCATGTGACTGAAAAGAAAACAAGCGGAAACGTAGGGAAGAAAGCGGAAATCGTGCCTGCCTCCGTAAAACAGGCAGTAGCACCACGCCTGTCTGTCGGGAGGCCGACAATCGTTAGAAGTCGAAAACCATTCCCCACTCCTTCCCTGAAGGCACAGGCAGCTATATCGGGAGTTCAGGGAAGCCCCAGGCAGACTGCATCGGGAGGACAGGGAAGCCCCAGACAGACTGCATCGGGAGGACGGGGAAGCCCCAGACAGTAGCCGCGCGTTTCCCGTACCCCTGCAGGTGCCGGCTTTCTGCTATCTTCCATTTCCCTCTCATTTGCCCGCTTGCTGCCGTACCCACTTAGAATTGCAGTGTTTTCTCAAGCAAGCTCGTTCACGTGCCTTCAACAAATTTTTGTGTAGAAATAAAATCCGTTGACAAACAGTGCTAGTTTTTGCTTCGGAAATTAAAAACAGCGCGGAAAGACGAGGACCAGACAAAGAAGTTTTTGCTTTTTACATTGACAATCTAGAATATAAATATGATGCCCCCCCCCCAAAAAAAAAAAGTGAAAAAAAAATGACGGGCGGTTTTAGATACAAACTGGCAACCGGCCTGCTATTTAAAAAAACTGGCTGTGCCGGACGAAAACTTGACAGGTGGCAACACAACAACCGCTGTTGTTGAGCGCACTGTTTTGTGCACTGTTTTGCAAAGTTTTGTGGAGCGCACTGTTGAGCGCACTCCACAAAACTTTGCATACTTTCTGCGACGAGATACTGATGCGATACGGACGGTCTAGAGGCACAAGTGAGTTTGTGGCAGAGCTGCAACTCGTGTGAAGCGCGACACGACGACTCAGAAATCTTATACTGGGTATCTGCTGCCTGACGCTTCGATTAGTGCACGAGCACTCGAAAACGTTGGATGCATCATTGTAGACTGACAAGCATGTTGGTCAAGTTGAGGAACACCGAAAGAATAAAACCCACGTGGGGACGAGGGATGCACACTTTCTTTTTGCGTTGCACGCTATGACACGTGGCTTCTGATCTTATCTTTTCAAGAGGGAGAGCGAGGGCAGCCGATCATGTTGCTGCACATTGCGCTGCTTGCTCTCTTTCTTCTAAGCCTCTTTGCTCTGAAAAATATACCTTCAAATTAACCAGCTACGAATTGATGCCCCATTTGGTGCAATAATTCATATTGTCTGCGTGACCATGTCCAAACTCAGATTAATAAATTCGTAAAACAAATTAATGAAAAATTAGCGGGTGGCTGAATTACCTAGAGTAGACCTTAAATGTTTTGTTGGATGTTCGACCATTCGACCCGTGGCAATCCACTATTTTCGGAACACGTCTGCTTCGAGATTATTTGGTAGTAGGCAAGAAGTTAGTGGGAATGTGTGCATCATAAATCCTTGGTACCGTACCGGCGTGCGGTCGCGTATCACTACTGCATGATGCGCATTAAAGACCCCAGGCTAGCAGTTGCACTGCACTGGCCAAATTTCTCATGCACAACGTAAACCAGTGTCGCCGCAACTCAAAGGCAGTCTGACCTTACACTGCATAAACACGAACATCAAATTTGGCCGTTATGAGGGGGTCAGTGAAGCTAGATCCTGTTGGCTCCATTGAGAGGGCAGCGCTGCTTCAAGAGCTTTTTTTTTTATGTAACCTAATTAGTTTTGTTAATATGGAAATTTATATTTGCAAAGATTATGGGAAGGATTAAGACAAACTGAAATACTTAAATCAGAAAATAAACCTATACCAGTAATCTAAAAGGTCTGTGGAATCCAGTAAGGCATAAATGAAAGCTCTAGGATGATTATGGTGTTTTCTTGGACAGGTAAAGTTTCCAGTTTTAAAATGATTTATTGCAGGACACCTAAAAGCCACCTAAAAAAAGCCTGATACCATATTGTCACGGGTGGTGACCAAAGAAACAGGAAATAAACAGGAAAAAATAAACTTTTAATGTGGCGAACTTGTGCCAAAAATAAAAGGGTACAAAGATAATAACAGAGCGTCGCAGGCGTCGAAGTCGGCGTAGCAGCACAGTCGAACGCTGGGGCGAAAAACTGACTCGACAAGGTCGCGGGCCGCATCTTACCTAGAGTGCGTGGCTATGTCGAAGATTCGGCGAAAGCGGCTCGAGCATCGCGTGATCGGGCGAGAATGAACACGCACTTTCTAGAAAACAAAAGCAGGAATAAATGATAGAAGTTACGTGCGGTACATGAATAAACAAGAACTTTCTGGAGGTCCGTGACTGAGCGTTGCTTTCTCAGCCCTGGGCGCGGCAATATTTAATATATTTATACCCTTTATTGCATGCATTACACATACACGTACCAGGAAAGAAATAATGATGAAGATTGGATATGGACGAGTGGAGATATGGCTTCTATAACATAGCAGTGTGTAAATAGGTCACTCAGAAATTATAGCAAAAACCATCCACAGACCCATTTTACTTTGTTTCGAAGACAATAATACTTCAATATAAGAAATACTTATTTAATAAAAATCCTTCAGGACAAGATGATAAGTGCCTGCAAATCTTCAAAAAAACACAATTTCAAAAATGTGCTTTTTAATATTTTATGCTTCAAAGAGCAGTGTCTCCCCTGAACTGCATTGATCAAGATTCCGCTACCTAAACATAGTTGTTCTGCCCATTGTGGATTATCTTGTGTCCTGTAGCTCGTACAACCTTTCCTCACCTCTTGACCATTGTAAAGAGGAGAAGCGAATAGACAAATTCTTCCTTGCCTTGTGAGTTTTTTTAAATTGTGGATTGACAAAAAAAACTTCGTTATGAAAAGAAGTGGTCAAAGGACAGGCAGTTCAAAGTTCACTTTGCTATGTTAGATGAAGTCTTGGTCGCAGCGTGTTTATTTGCCAAATTTTGCAAGTGAACACGCTCATCCCAATGAATTTTGCACAAGGGATGAAAAAAATTTATCCTTAGTCAAGTTGACTTGGCAATTGACTTGAGATGAATTTGCAGTTATTTATGGATTGGAGTTAGCCGTTTCTCGGGGTAAAAGAAGTAGTGAATAAGGTTGAAACCAGGTACAGTTCCAAAAGTTTCGAAAGCTCACGGATGCACACAGCTGCTTCGCACTTCATCTATTAGCCCGCCTAGAGCATTGCCAGTTTTTGCGTTTTGCTACATCATATTTTTTCAGCAGTCTTCTCCGAATTGTACTGAGACCTACTGTAGCAGAAGAGCCGCCGAAAGTGGACGATTTTATTGCGGGGTTAATTTGGGAGCCTAACGCACAACATGACATTGTTAGTGCAAACAAATGATCACCATTCTTTTTTTCTGTTGTTTTCTTGGAACTGAAAGGTTACCATCAACATTATCAGTATACTGGGAAGTACTGATTTGGGGCACTAATCCAAGCGGTAACGTTTAGTGCCTGACAATACCTCTTTGAAGTAAAATGCGAACAAAATGTGAGCTTTGTTCACGCTGACGATGGTGTGCACTGCCCACCGGCCAGACAGGAAGGGCAGAATCGGTCTGAAATAGTGGAGGTCTCGACAGCCTTTGTTTAGGAGTGTCGACTCTGCGGTCGAGAAGCGTGGAAGCCGTACCCAGATTTCCGAGGGGCAGCAAGCTGAGCGGGCAGACGACCTTTCCGTTGCAGGCACCAAGCTGTTTGGGGAAGCGTACAGCGGCCTGGAGTACGACTACCGAGGCCTGCTGCGGGTCTCCATGGAGATGAGCAAGACGGACCAAGTTCTGCGCTACACGCGGGTGCTGGAGGAGTGGCGCCAGCTGCGCCAGCGGAACATCCGGGAGGGTCGGGACGCCTCCCCGTTCACATTCTGCGTCTGCAAAGTGCCCCCCGAGGACATCTACGCCTACGTCACCAGCCTCCGGTAGGGAAGGCGCCGGCCATCACCGCCTCGTCCCCCTCCCCAGCTCTCGCCGCCCCGCGCTGCATTGCCGCCAGAACGTCTTCAACTGTGCAGCGGTGGGCCGCGTCGTCTGCAACGGTCGTTCAACAGACGCCACAACAACGGGTTGACGTGTGGGGTGGAAGATTTGACGGGCTTTGCTGCGGAAGTCCTGCGGCCCCGCGCACTAAAGTTTCGCCAGCATTTCCTTACGCTCGACGTATGCCGCACCAGTTGACGACCCTCTCTGGCTGCGTCTCAACTCGTCATAATGCGGGCCCGCGCAAGCTTCGAGACGACGCACGTCCCAGTCATTTCCCACGGAGGTCCGACACCTGCTCCGCGACTTTCTGTAGGGCACGAAATGCGCTTCGCTCCTCCGCCGACGACGGGAGCTTGGGGCACAAGCATTTTTGTGGCTCACGAGTCGAACGTGCGGGATTTGTGGAGATCTGCTAGTCGGACGCCGCGCGACTTCCTTTAATGGCAAGACGGAAAAGACGGGAAGGCACTGGGATGCGAACAAGTTTCCGGTTAAACTGAACTTTAAAAAAGAAAAGAAAAAATACTGCCCTTGTTTTCCTTTTTGTTACCGAGAGTTGGAACTTGTATGTGCAGTGTGTAGTATATGTTGTGGTCACTCGGTGTAGCAGCGCTCCACCCGTTGCACGCTCCTTTTCTGGGTGTTCCTTTTTTTTTTTTTTTTTTTTGTAAGAGTAAGCTTTCTGTCGAGATGCTACTGCGGGTTAGCTCCTCTTTGCCGAATGTGGACACCTCATCTACGCTCCCCTTGCACCGTGCGAAATGAGGCAACGTGCGTTTGCGGTAATTTCTGTCAAGCAATCGGAATTTTCTAAAAAATTCAGCGAATCAAAGTGCACGATTCTCAGCCGTAAAGAAAACTGTTCTTCCGCTCGCCCGAGGTACATGCAACTTGCGAATAACGCCGAATCTGGAAGTTGTAAGAGGTACGACTATCAGTTTCCCGAAAATTCGGTCCCGTTTCGTATTATCTCGAGCTAATGTATAGTTTCCATTTAAGCCTCGGAAACATTTTCTAGATATGCAAGTAATGCAGTTCAGGTACTGTGTCTTGGTTTTGCCCGCCGTAAAGTATTCTTAAAATTTTTAGCTCGTTATGGGCTAAAGTATCTCACCGTAAAAACCGTCGTCACCGACTAGGCTAGGAACAGAAAAGATGCCAATTTCACCGACGACTACCGCCCCAGCACGTTCTGCATTTCGGCACGCCTGCCGACGAGACTTGACGTCGCAAGTTGCTCTCTTCTGACTCACTTGCGACCCTTATGAAGCAACTTCCCAGATGGCACCCGAAACCCTCGCCGTACAAGGGACTGGAATGGGAGGACCACCTCCGTATGTATCATACTGTGTAACTGCAAGCTGTGGAAGATTGTACAGAGCGTGTTCGTGTCCTCGTTCTCCCCTCACTGTAAATAGTGTCTTCCGTAAAGAAAACCAGTCTGCCCCGCGGGAGTGACTTTTTCAAACCGAGAACGTTCCCACTTCCGAAGCGACGTCATCTAGCTGCAATACGCACCCGCTTTTTTAGAAAGGAGGCTTCAAAGAAAAATTTTGTCAACTTGCTTCGAATGGACGAGCGTTTTACGCAAAATAAATGCTAGGAAATTGACTCTATTAGTGCGTAACGGCGTGCGGCCAGAGCTTCAGTCGGGAAGCTGCGAGTTAGTCACAATCTTCATATTAGCTGGGGTCGTACCGCAACTCGAATCTGTCGAATGCTTTTATTGGCAAAAGCTTTTGAAAGCGGGGTTTGAAAGATCTATAAATACCGGTCGCTCGGACGAGGACCAGCAGACTACGACAAAATAGAGCAGACCTCTGAGCGTACTCCTGTTGTCTTTGGTTTTGATGCGTCGGACGTTTGCCCGTGCGTTCGAACCCCTTGCCTAGTTTAGTTCTGGGGTCACCGACGACTTGAAAAACGCAGGGTGTGGCGAGTCCTGAGCACCTCGTTATCGCCTCTCAGCCAATGGGATTGCGGCATTTGCCGCTAAGAACGCCAAAGAATGAATCGCAAAGCAGGAAACGTGAATGAAATGAGCCTTGCCCTGCAATTTTTTATGTCGTCTGCGACTCCACATCTTTAAATTCTGTTGCCGCGAGATTGGGCCTTGCTACGGTTATCTTGTTGTCGGCGCGGAAGCTTTCACACAAAATAAATGCTTTGCGAAAGGACGTACCTAGTTGCTATTTTTGTTTTTATATGGTCAATTATTCGATATGGTGAGAGGTGACACTAACAAATTATTAATTTGACTTCATAGTTTCTTTGCCTAGCCGGTGCAAGGTTTTATCCGATGACATGGTCAGGTCGATATAAAAATTCACTTTGATTTGGTTTAATTCATCAGATTGGCTCCGACTGGAGTACTGCAGTAATCTGAGGTTAATTGGACTCCCAACATTCGAGATATCCTAGTATCTTTTGGTCACATTTTATGTGCACACTACAAGTTTGTTGGCCCAATCCATGCGATTCCTTGAGAAAAGGCATAGCATAGAATACAAAACCTTTTTTTAGTAAAAATTCATTTAAAGTTTTGTGAGTTGGACAATTTTTATAACTTAAAGGGCCACTAGAGTGTGTTTTGAGACCCTTATCTTATGGTCATAACACGATCTACGAGCTCTAAGCATTAAAAAAAAATACGAAATTACACTCATGCACAGTCAATTTGCATATAAAGAGAAGTTCCCGACACTTACCGTTGGTGCAAAATGACAGATGGCGCTACCGAACCTTGCTGAATATGGTCCAACAACAGACGGCGCTTGTCAGGCACTTGCAAGCAATGGGTTCCCGCGTGGACAAGCGGACCACCAGTCCCGCTTGTCCCCGTGGGATCCCATCACTCACTAGTGGCCAAGTAGCACTGTCCGTCGTCCGACCATATTCAGCAAGGTTCTGTAGCGCCATCTGTCGCTCTGCGCTAGCAATAAGTGTCGCAACCTCTTACTGTATTTTTAATACGTAAATAGGCCACGCAGTAATGTAATTGTGTTTTTTAAGATTATTATAGCTCATAGATTGAGTCACGATAATAAAACGAGGATCTCAAAAAGCACCCTTTAAGTCTGTGGAAATTCCTGCCAAGACTGCAGAGTGGAGTTCACATAAACAGACCTTTGCAACCTTTTGGTTTTGTTTCTCATTCCTTCAGAGTGGTGGTTTTGTATAATTAGAGAACTTCTGACCAGTGTAACAATTGTGCCTGGCACTAGGAAGTTCTACTCCGAGTTTCTACAGAGTGCTTAGCTGACCTCGCATTTTGGTATTGACCGGAAGACTCTGTTAAAACGGGCCAAATGTTATATTGATGGATGGGTAAAGAAAGAATGCACCCAAAGTTATCAGCCAACATTTATTTACATTTATTCCCTAGTATCCTGTACATAATTTCTGCTGATTTGGTACTATAGCATATAGGTAGTTTATTGCAAAGTTGTGCTTTCCGAGCACTTGCAATGGGAATGTTTCAAGCGAAAAAGCAACGATAAGTGCATTACTTATTCCCAGTCCTACTCTATTTTGCCTTTCTTTTATGCACCAGTGTTTGCATCTTCACATACCTAGTATGTTTTTTGCTGAGCTAGTGCGCTCCAATAGCACTGGCGCAGGTTAGATTTCGCTAAACGTCATTATGCCGAAATGCACACTGGAAACCTGCAGACGTGCCCCATTCACAAAATGCAGAAAAAGCGAAAGTAATTTTGCAGCACACATTTGTTGCAGGCCGTTTATGAAGGTGGCATGTGGGTTCAAATGTTTCTTTTCTGTGTTGCCCCTTGATATCTTTTTAAGTCATTCATATGCAAATGGGATGGAAATGAGAAAAAAAAGAAAATGCTGGTGCTGGTCTACCACGAGAGAATCTCAATGAGGTTTGCACTGTAATTCTCCAGAAGATTGAGTTATGTTTTACAGAGTGCTACTGCTCAATTACTTGCTTTGAGCTGCACGTCGTGCATTGGACTGCCACTGTCCAGAAAATAATCCGAGCGAAAGCACTCATTTGTTTGACAGGGACGGTAGCTTTTACAAGTTTTAACTGGCCAAGAGCCAACCTGTGCACCGACCAAACTTCTACAACACTCGTCGTTTTGTCTTTTGACGGGGACTGAAAGTGCCCCTTCCTGCAGTGTGTAACCTCTTTAGGTACTGCCCAGTTGGTACCAGTGTGTCTTCTTGATTTTCTTTTTGAGAACTGTGCCTTTTTTCCTAGATGTCATTGCAAATCACATGTAATAAAAAGGGATGTGTAATAAACAAAGTTTAGTGAAGAAACTTGAAAACGTCTTTCGACCTTCGTAGTAGTGCCACAAAGTTTATTTTGGCATGTACAGCTCTTACATGTAGGTAAGCGTTAACTACACACATGGTAAACAAGCAAGGAATGTCTCGAAATCTGCTTGACCAAACAAGCTCCCTGTAATGCTTTGCACATTTGCAAGCTTAGGTGAAAAAAAAAAAAATGCAAATGAAATTGTACTTAAAATTTCGGCTCTTCGTAAGTCAGTGACTCGTTCTAACCTCGGCTATTTGTGAAGCTCGGAACAGAAGTACAACTTTATTTTTTATGCAGGCAAGAGACCGACGTAACTTAGTCATGGAGGGCTCGGAGCTCCCGACACAATGTCGTTGATGCAAACGTCCAATTGGCAGCTTCTTGTGTGGCATTTATTGCGCGAGCTGGTAACAAACGAAAGGGGAACACGGCCCAACAACTCTGTCGTCAATATGCTCGTCCAGCAGAGGAGGCCGTTTCGACATTCGGAAACAAATATTTGCGAAGAGGACATTTGCACCTCTCCGAAAATACACACATTTGGGTCAAATAAGACTAGAACCAGCGTGGAGATGCACAAACATCATGCGACTTTGTGCAATCCATAAATTTGTGCCTATTGGCGGGCATTATTATTACTCCGGCTAGGTGAACATTCTTTGGTTCTCCAGCTGAGCACAGAAGAACAAGCAGAGGTTAAACCAGTTTCATGGCTAAAACGCTGACAATCGTATTCTGTATAGAAAGTTTCGATGACAGGCTCCCAAAGTGGGTTTCTATAGTTGCTAATCACCCATGCTTCCCTTGATCTGACTTCTCTGGCTTGGGCACAATCTAGGTGTAATTGGTTCATATGCTCTAGAGCAAAACAGTCCGCTATAGTGGGCAGTTTTCTATATCTGGGTCGCCGCAAGCGGCAGTTCCCAGACTGTTCGGCCAGAACCCATCGAGCTGCCCTTTAAAGTGACTAGGAGTCCCTAATGATCCTAAAGACTGAACTCGCTTGACTTAGAAACGTCCTCTAGCAAACACTGCCTTGGGACTGGCGGATTGATGCCCAACGCTGATGCGTGCTACATGGCTTGTGACATGTTGCTGGTCTTTTCTGTTGCGTTCCAGAGTTGCACATCATGGCCTATTGTGGCAGCTGCACTAATTTAAAACACTGACCAGGTAAAGGCTGCTTTCAGACACTAAAATTTTCAGCTGCATGGCACTAAATTAGCCTGGAAAAAAAAAAAAAAATGTCATTGCCAATGGGGTATAGCTGGTATTTATACACTATACTACAGCTGATCTGCAGTTGCAGGCATATTTGTAGAAACTATGCTCAGATTGCAGAGGCAGATGTAACAAACCTTTTTACTACCATAATTAGCAGAATTTTAACGGTCTGCCTATGAATCTGAACGAGAAACATGGTGAAATCTTGTGACTTTCAAAACAAAGATGCAGCTGTTCAGTTTAAGTTAACGTGCCATAAAAGTATTGCATGGCCTGGGCATACGCTCATTGCTTTGTAGTTTTGAATGCAGCATAAATGTACATTTTATTTTTTTACAAAGATCATTTATTTGATAGAGGTTAATAATACAACTAAATACTGCTCAGAAGAGTTCAGCACTTCTAAAGTAAGCCGCTCAAATGAAAACAATAATCAAAATATTTTGGACCAGCGGTGAACAGGCATCTACAAGGCTTGGTTCAAGTGCGCTTCTGTAAGACACTTCATTTTGGCAGCCAACATATTCGCAAATCAGAATTGTTGGACATATTCACTGCTCTAAACTTCTTTTAGTTTCATAAAACTACCAATCCAAAGCATGAATTTTGTGTGCCCTCGAAATTTTAAAAGGGCGATTAAAAAGAAGGGAGGGTTTTACAATATGATGACTCCACCCAATAAGAGAACAGAACTGACACCGAGAATACAGCCAACAAGGGCAACCTGCTGTAATACTACGCTACCTTACTTTCCCTCAGTAAAGCTCGGCAACTCACTGAAACAGGGTGGTGCTTTCACAACCTACGAAGAGTACAGCACAACGCTGCTAAGCAGTCTCGAATGTCACACGTTTCTACCCACAGCACAACATTACAAAGCCAGACGAAACACCACCACGACATCCTACAACACTGTGTCTCACCACACTGCCGGAATTTTACCCTAGGGAATGCAGCAGTGAAATGGTGGGGAAATGGGCGATCCCATTTTTTGGCAACGCGGTCTTCCTCTCATGTTGGCAGCACTGGAGACTCACTCGGCACGCTTGCTGCGCTCTCTTACGTCGACAGCCCCGAGGTTGACCGCTGCAATCTGCATCTGCAAGAGGCTGACAAAGGTCTTGGCCACTGCAATCGGTGCGCAGATCCCTGTGAGGAGTCTGAAGATGCCCATCCCTGCAAACACTGAGAAAGAGATGCATGACAACGGTTAGTGGCGTCATATAGTAGACTCTCATTATTTCAAACTCCGAGAAGCCACAAATTTTGTTTGAATTATCGGAAGTTTGAATTATTAAAAATTTATCTAAATATGATGCGAGATAAAGTTATGATTTGATTACACACACAAAGGAGATATTCTATGGTCTTTTCTACAAAGGCCTACTGATCATAACCAGGTATGCCACACATGAAACATTTGTGAAACGTATGACACAAGTTTATTTACTTATCAAAATTGTAGTTTATTGTGGACTGTTTAGAGAGCACATGACAACTCGAAACAAAATTAAGTTTGTTCAACCAAGAAGTTGTCTAATGTGATCTATTAAGCAGGTGACACACGAGCTATGAATACGTGCACCGCGCGGCTGTTTTCATAGCAACTTGGGCAGATGCGGTGATGTGGACCTATGCCATGCCGTTACGTCGCAGCGTCCGCGCACTTTGCTATGGAAATGTCCACAAGGAATTTCTATGTGGTGTTCATTTTCATGGCTCCTGTGTGCCCTGTTTGAGCCCCGTAGAAGGCGCTTCTCACCGAGCACCAAAAACAACGCCCGCAGAAGCAAGCTCCGCGGGTGTTGCTTCTCTGCAGTGCACCTGTGCTCGGAAAGAAGCGCACTCAACGGCGCCACGAGAACAAAAAGTATGAATTGCACGAAAACGCCGTTCGAATTAAGCGGCTTATAAATACATTGAAAACATGGCAGGATGACCAAAATTTTGAAATTTGTTTGAATTAACTGGAAGTATGAAATATCCGAGTTTGAATTATTGCAACCCTACCCACGGCCGGACTGGAAGCGCGCACTCTCTTTCACTTCTTACGGCCTTTGCAATCGCCCGGGAGTCAATGGCATTTTTTCTCCGTATGTAATTTACTTGCTTGCCACCAGGGGCGCAACCACCTCAACCCACTCGGAGAGTCCCTTCGAGCTGCTTTGCACTGGTGTTCGAGCTTCGTAGATTGTTCTTTTGGCAATGGTTTATTGAACTTCGCTTCGATTTAAGTCACTCTACCGACAGGCAGTGTCGTCAGCAAACTGCATTCCCCTGTGACGAAAAATCATCTGGATATGTGCACAGGCCCTCGAGGAAGCACTTTAGGCTGTAATATGCACTGTGCGAAAATTGTATAGACTACTACACCCTCGTCTAGAGCAGCTGACCGACTTCATGAGCGGCCTATGAAACGATGATGCAGACCACGGCAATAGATAGATTGGGCCTGCTTATATTTCACGAGAGTGTACGAATTATTCATCATTTAAAGATCCTCCACGTAGAAACGTCCATCTCCTCCTGTTGATGAGTTGCAACAGAAGTCCTGGAGGTAAAGACGAGTATAGTTTTTCCGAAATTGCATTCGCTGTCTATACCTACTACTTTTTACTCCCGAATCTCTCGGGGATGTGCGTCAAATATTCACCGTTTTGGGCTCATCAGAAGCGCATTAGATAGTGGCTGAGGGTCTAAATGTAAGGATCAGGTGTCAAAGGCTATAAAAATCTCGGCCGCAAGTTGCGACAGCGCTGAGATACGCTGTCAAACGCGCTCTGTGCAAACGGCAAAGGGTAGCCCAGGGGTGAGGTGACAGCGCCCCCCGCGAATTGCGGCGGGAGGTGGCGATTGCCCCAATTGCAAAGGCCGTAAGAAGAAAAAGAGCTTGCGCTTCCAGTCCGGCCGTGGCATACCATATCCCGAAAGATAGCCTATCACCCAGTAGGAAACGTTTTGGGGATCGATTGACGACAAATGCCTGCTCTGTCGTTTCAATGAATGTGCAAACTCTCAAACAAGGTGTTGACAGATTTTCCCATTTTCACGAGATCCATTTCTGTTTCACTATTGCTCGTAATTATGGTGCACAGAACGCATCCACAACTTGTCCGTTTACGTGCTGCGTCCTAAACAAAATGGTCCCTCGAATTCTGCATGACGATATAATCAAAAGTGTCGCACTCTGCTGCTGGCTGTTGTCCAGCTTGACAGTCGACGGAAGCTTCAGGTGTTGGGAGACGTCGCAACGACAACGGCACTTGCATTCGTTCATACGTTTTGCCGGGACTTGTAGCACCAACCTTTAGGGGTCACGACATCTGACACGTCGGCTTTTACTTCGTCGTCTGCTGCCAAGATATAGGACGCTGAACACGCCAGTCAAAGACGGATTCCATGCATGGTACTCGTAATCTCCTCCACGAGATCTCACAAATGAGTCACTTACAAGTGGGTCCCTGAGTGAAGTGAAGCAGGTAGAGTCCCCCGTAGAATGCCTCGTTGCCGACGCACATTGTGAATAGGACCGGCTGCAAAGGAGAGGGAGGACCATTTCGAAATGCACTTTGCCGGGTCAATCTGCCTAGGGTGCCTTCATGTGCGCTTCGCATAGAGTGATGCCAACTGCCTGTTTCCCTTTCCCACACCCTCTTCCACCGCCATTTTGTTTCTCTCATTGTTTCCCCGTGCGCCGGAAAGTGGCCTTTGTGTCCATCGGTAATCCCATCCGAGGGGGAAAATGCTAATCCTCCCTCCGTGGGTTCTACAACGCTGCTCCGAACTTCTGAGATAAGGTGCTTGTTTCCGGGAGGGTTATAAGCCCCACGGATTATCGCCGAGGAACGAAATGGCTGCTGGTTTGTCGGCGAGTGGTATTACAAAGGGTGGCATCACCCCTAGCAAAGCGCACATGAAGGCTCCCTAAATCTGCCATTTCTTCTACAATAGGCCTTCTGACATGAGCACAAGGAACTGATCAATGCATCGTGATGGTGGAAGATATCGTACCTTGTTGGTATAATATAATTTCATGATGGGGTTGTCTGCGGCATCCATGTTCTTGTGATTGTCGCGGCCCGAGAGCAGAGATCTGGAAGTGCGTCGCATAATATTCAATGTTCTCTTTAAGCCTGAACTCCACAGATATCTAGCTAGAAAAACATCCCACAGTTATGGTGGCAGCACATCTTTTTGCTTATAAAACTAGACTTTTACGTGGCTTCGAACGACTTCACATAGCAATTTGACCCGCCCACCATTGCCGTCGCGACATACCAATCGGGGGAGATGCAAAGTTTTCTCCATGGTTAGTTTCATTCATTAAGGGGAGATGTGGGTCAAAAAACAGCAATATTTTGCAACAGATGTGATACTGATTCTTATGGTGTATTATCATCTTTGAATCCTCACATTTTATGTATAAAAATAATAAGTGCCAGTTAGGGTCGCGAAATTAATCAAGTGCTCATTTCAAGGCCTCCCGGAAACTCGGAACGGCATAGATTTTAGCCATTTTCCTGTGCGTGGTTTTTCAAATTTTGATGTTGCCCGCCATCACATTTACGCAGACAAGCAGGCCTAGTGGTCTCCTTTCCATCGCTGTCTTCTGTAGCTTCAAATTTTCACGGAAAATTATTAACGAAATATTCTTTTTTTCCCGCCGCAAAAGAGTATTGTTACACATATATTGTAACGTTTGAACATGTTTTTCTGTTTATGTAATTTTGAGGCATTTTCACAGTTTGTGCACAAGAATTTTTGTCTTAGTATTGTCCTATCACAATCAAATTTGTCACGCATATGCTGTGGAATATGTACAATGCAGCTATCTAGGCTAGGTCCGAATGTATGTTTCTCATATTTATAAAAAATTTAACAAACTTTCGTTAGCCCCTTGAAAATGGCATTTTCGCAATTTTTAGTTACTTTAAAATAAAATAATTATTGCACACAATATTTTTGTTGTTTTTTGCACTCAGCTGATAAAAGAAGCGACTTAGTTGATTTTACTATGCTCTTTTAAATGCGTTTCCATGCCCCACGTGTGTGCATGAACATGTTTTTTTCTGCACGTGAACTGCGCCCAGAACATAAAAAACAAGCTACATCAAATCTAACATAAGATTTACAAAGAGGAGAGTAAGCACTATAAACCGCGGAAATTTCATTTAGTCATCGTACGCAACAACAAAAAAAAAAAGGTGCCGTGGAAGGAGCAGACGACAAATGGCGGTTATTTTGACGGGTTTGCCGGTCCTACGAGAGAAAAAGGTGGAAAAAGAAGGGTCGAACTTTGCAACGGCGAAAACTCCTATGAACATTGTGTTGGTGTAGTCCAAATCGAGAGGTCTGAGGCGAGGCCGAGCAATTCCCTGCGTCCGCAAATGCAGGCCTTAAACTATTTGTGCAATCAAACAGAATTTGTGCCAGGCAAATTGTAAGGAACGATTTGAAAAAGTGCAGCGTCTGAAATGCCATTGGACAACACTGCTAGCCAGCGTTCAAGTGCCGTTCGACAGTGATGCCGCCAAGCATTCAGGTCCCTTGAAAGAATGGCTTGCTGCAGCCCAAATTAGCATTCCTCTGCACCTTTTACGTTAGATTGGCTAATCTCGAGTATACTGGCCATAAATCCTTCCAAAATTTTCTTATGCAAAAAGTAATTTTAAAATAGCAAAAAATTATATTTAAAGCAAAAAAAAAAAAGAAATCAGTCCAATGGCACAATGGTTAGCAAACTGCTCTGCTTTTCCCAATGGCTTTTGCTGCTCAAGTCAACATCTAAACTCGGAAAATTCCGAGTCGCACAGGCGTAGCACTGGAGAGCGTGCCACATCGACAAATGTGGAGTGTGTGTGCATGCACGGCGAACGTCGCTCCCACGGCATTTGCCTCGCTCGCACTTTGAGACAACGCTAATCGGTGGTGAGTGGCCAATGGAACATACATCTGAATGATGGTGCAACTCGAGTTGAATGCCTTCGAACGGCGCTCTAACGCACACACAGAGTACTGTTAAATAGCACTTGAGTATTTTGCACGAGTGCCATGAGACAGCACTCTAGACAACGATAAAGAAATAAAAAAGGCACTTGTCAACGGATACTGGTGAGACTATCGAAGCAAATAACATCTATGTTTACAATGCAATGTTCCAGCAGTGTAACCTCTCCCCCCCCAAAAAAAAAGTAACGGGAAACTTTTCCTTTCTGCGAGGTGGGGTGAGCATGTTGACACTGTAGACGTGCATGTTGGTGTTTGCAACTAGGTCGAAGCTGCTTTTTCGCTAGTTTATCGACAGTTTGTTCGTGCATTGACAGCCACCCGCAGTAATTCTTACCAATCTGAAGCATGCACCACTCTATCATAAAAGCCCGTTCACACTTCAGTAAATGTGCAGAGTTTCAAAGAAGGTGTTGCCAGATTTTCCTATTTTCGCGAGATGCGTTTTCACGTTTCGCTCTTGGTCGTAATTATGGTGCCCGGAATGCACCTCCGACTTGTCAGTTTACGTGCTGCGTCTTAGAAAAATGGTCCCTCAATCTTTAATACCTCTTACAAGGAGAGAACACACTGGCACGTGTGCACCTACTACGGGGTGACCCTGGAACTACATTTTACTAGGGGAAAGGTTTTTCGATATTTGCAACGTCAAACGTATGTACTACTTATGAAAAATGATTGTTTTTAGCATTGACAAAAGTTTTTCAATCCAAGAAAGAAAGAATGATGCACCAGAAAATAGAAAATATACGGGACCGCCAAGCGTTCCACTGCTACCTGATAGGTGGCGCCTCTCGTTGTAATAAATTTTAATGTTTCAAGGCACACGGTCCTAAGAAGTCGCAAATAAAAGTATGTGAACAGGTTTTAACAGTCGTTGCTGGTCGTAATTTTAATGTGCAGCCAAGCAACCAAATATTGGTCGACGCAGTTTGATACATGACCCTCTAGCTGCATTGGTGAGGCGGCCATTAAATAAGACAATATGGAAATGGACATGCCAGAAAAGCGGGACATTGGAAGAGCCAAATTTTGCCTAACAGCTCAATTCATTGGAGCTTGGACATACTTGGGTAAGCAGGAAAGACCACGCGTGCAAACATGCAGATTTGGAGCAAACCTCACGGTACCACATCTCAAACTGTTTTGTGCAGATCTGCTACGGAGACACAGGTGCGGAAGCCGAGAGGATGCACAGAGGGCGGGGTCAGGTGATAAATGATAGGCGATTAATTGTTCTGCCGAGAAGGAAGTGTCCAACACCTTGTCAGCTTATTAGTCGATGGAGTATAGAAAGAGCTTTTCTTGGACAGGTACAAGTAAAGTTCATTTTCGGGGCTCTGCTCTCGGGTCCTTGTTTTCCACAATGTTGCGCAGAACTTGGGTAATGGAATATAAAACTTGCGCAACGAAAGTGCTTGCGGAAAAATTGAAGAAACTCTTACGTGTGCAGATGCAGCCAGTGACTCGCAATGTCGATGGACATGCTGAGCATGAAGAGGAAACTGTAGCGCGGGTAGAAGCTGGCGAGCACCACCAGCAAGCACATGGTCCCGCAGCGGTCCGTCAGCTGGTCCAGCATCGCACCGAACTTGGTACCTATCGCGAGTATCAGAGACAACGATCACCAAAACAGCGCCGGCACGGTGATCAATAAAAGGCGCGGACAAGCGGTGTGTCCGTGATGACGTAACGTGGTCAGATACAACCAACCTCGTTGGATATAACGGAGAGAGAGAGAAGGAACAACGAGAGAAAGGTCTACAGACTAAACACCTCAATAGCTCGTCCCTGACAGCCTTTTGCTTGCGTCTAAAAGGATGGTATTACACTTACTCTGGTTGAACATCCTCGCCGCATGTCCATCGATGCAATCGAGGAAGGCGCTCACCCCGTAACAGATAGATGCCACCAGGCAGTGGGTGGGCATGAAGTAGAAGGAGATCAGCGCCAAAACGATACGGGAGTAACCTGCGGGAAGCGATGGGGATGTACTGCTCGGTGAGTTCGACTGAGCTGCGAGAAAACCAGCGCCCGGGAAAGTGCCAGACACACCCATCCCGTTTCCGTTGCTCGCCTTCGGTTGCGGTCAACATAAATCGTAACGTGACGAAACTGTTTCAGATGAGGTTTTAAGAGTGTCATGTAATAAGTTCGACATTTTAGGTAGAATGACAGCTGTTTAAAATAAGAAACGGCGGGAACAAGACCCCGATTTCCTCTACAGACACGCCGATCATATGCAGTCTCTTCTGAGGAAACGTACCGATGATGTTTGGAACGAAAAGGAATATATTCTCCGGCATCTTTGCGGCTACTGGCAGTCCCGGAAATAAGACCAGGGACAACAATGGGACGACACACGACACTGACAGATAAAGACTATCTTGACACTGACGTCGAGTGGCACGCAACGCTCGAAACCACTACGACGTATGAGATCACATTGTTACGAGACTGGCAACAGGTTAGCGACAAATTGAGCGTGGCTTGGCACCAAGCCACTGAGCTATCTTGTATGAAGTGACTCAAGCCGAACCGTAGCCGCGCGGCCGCCCCGCCAAATTTAAACACGTGTAATTTGACTGAGCGTGGAAACGAACGTTGGTGGAAACTCAAATGGTGTGACGTCACGTAGTCCATTTCATAAATGTTTTAGAAGACCCAGCAAGGCGGGCAACGATCGCCGGCAACTTGCTGCTTGCGACACGCGAACATTTCTCGGCGAAAGTACGGTGTGCGAAGGTCGGTACGCGAGACCTCTCTTGCCGACGTGACGCAAGCGGACACGACCGGTCGGTCGACCACTCGCGTCGCCTTCTCATATTTAAACATATCTGGACCAAAAAACTTACTTTTTCTCAAGTTACAGCATTTCGTCTGTGAAATAAAAATGGTTACTGCATCTTCGTGGCGTTGCCAGCGCGAGATGCTAGGGCTTCTGTGTCGCGGCGGAGAAACGCTATTCTAAAACACTTGCATAGCGTTGAGCGCTAACGCAAGCGCTAAATTTAGCGCTAGCGTGCGCTCAAATTGTGTACGTTACTCTAAAACTCCCTATTAATGCAATTTCCCATGACAAAATTTCGCACACAAAAATACTGTCGGTCTTTCTGTCGTCGAATCTCTTTCTCTAGAGCTACGATGTGCAGTTTTTGCTGTTCAAGTGCCTCGCCGGTTTTTTTTTTTTTTTTTTTTTTTTTTTTTTTTTTTTGGGGGGGGGGGGGGGGGGTAATTATTTTAATAGATTCAGGCTGTTTCATGCGTATTTCATTGTTTTATATGTGATTACCGTAAATGTATAATTTGTGGAAGTTCGTAGAAATTACAAAGGTCGTGCCCGATACCATTTTTTTTTTCCTTTTTTATTTTTTATTTGTAAACATTGCAACCAGAGGCGTCTGAGCGATCGACTTTCTAGGTACAGTCCCTAAGGTAAGGTGACCACCCGTCCCGCAACTCGCGGGACTGTCCCGCATTGAGGGTCGTGTACCGCGTCCTGCAAGAGACGTTCAAATCTTCAAAATATCCCGGATTTCACACTCGTAAAATTCACTACGCAACTCATGGCGCTGCCGAACAACGGTGCATAAAGTCCCTCGATGTTTTTTCACTGCGTTAACGGTGCACGGGGAAGCGCGGAGGTCGCTGGTAAACGTGTGAATCGCGACTGTAGGGTGTACTAGCGACGGTACACCATTTTCTATCCAAGCATTGCGGGAAACGACCATCGTTCTTGCAGAAGATCTGACGCGCATGCGCCGTTGTGCCTCTCTTCCCTTGGTGGCAATATATTGCGAGAGAAAATTTCACGGCAAAGTTGAAAAATGAATTATTGAAATTATTTTCAAATCGTGTCAAGTCAATGAAGAAAAAAATTGCTGCAAAAAGTTTTTTTCTTTTTTCTAGTGAAAACGATTAAACGCGGTAAGAAGACTGCAGCTCACAACGGTCAGAAACAACAACATAACGTTCGAAGTTTGTGTAGGAGCGTGTTGGTAAAGAAAAAGAATCGACAGGAGACAAGCAGCCGTAAGAGATTTACTGCGTCTTTCCTTTTGATGCATTAAGTTCTGCTGCAGTCGATTTTATGCTTTCAACTTTAGACACATTCATTAACATATGTGGCATTAAAACTTGCAATATATTAATGGGAGTGAAAGTATGAGTTTAATTACCGCCATACAATTTGCAGCTGTATAATATGCTTTCGGACAAGACAGGATATTGAATGTGTTAGCAGAGCCACATAATCATTTTTTTTTTTTGCATTTTGGACTGCATTTTTTCACTTTTTAACCTGACTGTGGCAGAAGGAGAGAAAAATTTTTCCTCCTTCTGCCCCATCTCGGGTTAAAAAGCATCGTGGTAAATTTCCGCCAACCCAACTGCGCACTAAAGTTTTTTATTTATTTATTTATTTTCGCAGTTGCCACAGTCAAAATATCATACCGTTCTTCTCTTACACAGGCACCATGATGCTACCGCAGCGCCGCCCCGTGCATCCGGGACCTTTCCACGCTCGCCGCTTCAGAGCAATGCATCGCGCGCGTCGGGGCCTGGTCTCACCCCCCCTACTCGTGCTCACTGTACCGGGGCCCCTGGGCCGCGGTCGTTACTTGAAAAATGTAATGGATTACGATTACAAATTACCGAGCCTCATATGTAATGGATTACCGTTACAAATTACTTTCAGTGAGAAGTAACGGATTACTTTACTCGTTACGTTAGAAATTACTTTCACGTTACTCTTTCCGCACATCTTATCCAGAGAACAATAGAAACAATTTTGATATTTTTCAAAAATGTTCGACAACCACTCCTTTTCATTTCTCATACGCCCGTATTATGGTAGTCCTTGAAGAAATAAAATATTGCATTTAAGAGAAAGAGTGTAGTTGCACTCCGTTCACCTGTAAGCTGACAAGGCACCGAGAGCTGCAACCACACCCGCCATCCCGCTAGCTTACGGCCTCCGGTTTGAGCAGACAAAGCTAGCGGTGCGCATGCTCAGTAGCAGCATTTACCTACGCTACGAGATTCGGAGCAAAAAAAGGGATCTACGAAAGCTCCATTTTGACTCGGGTCGGCTGTTTCGCCTGTTATTCACAAGAAAAGAAAAACCTGGTTCTAACGTTACAGTGTAACCAGTGCAGAATGCAGGTGTCTCAGCTTACCTTGATGCGTTTCCGTAGATTAGAGTTTGTTGTTCTTGCTGATAACAGTGTGTGTTTTTTTAACAAGCAAAGTATGTACTGAAACTCTAGGCTTCCGCTCTCCACGACCGAAAACTCGACCAGTCAGAAAAAAAGTGGCGGTTACGGGTTATCGATCGTTCATCGGTTCTCACTTTCATACCAATATTCGTGGAGGCCAGGAAGGGGAGGGCATAGAGAGCGAGAGAAGCGATGACTATCGGTCTCACAAAACAATAGAGGCTCACACCACTTTTATGCGTTCTCTCTCTCTCTCTCTCTCTGTTAGCACTCCTTAGATGGCCTAACCCCCTCCCCCTTTATGTTGACAGTTGACTGTAAAGTGAGGAGTGGACTCGACCACGTGCCCAGACAAGTAAACCAAAAGAAGTAATCGTCCGTCCGTACTCATGAAAACGATGGTCTTAGCCTCGCGCCGGGCGCTTTTCAGCCGTGCCTCAAGAGTGTGCTAGAACACAGTAGCGCACATCAAAGACAAGGAGAATTCGACCCCCTCGCGCGAGGGTACATCGTCTGTTACGCGAGTTGTGAACCTGCGATTCAAGGTGGGTTTAAATGAGAACCACCCGATGGGGGGAGGCGTCAAAGAAGTTGAAAAGGGTGAAACGGGATAACAGAGAAAAACAAATTAACACGAAGAGCTTTCTCCTGCCCGGGAGAAGAAGAAAAACACGATGGAAGGCGACGGAGAGCCTACTCGCCGTTGTCTTACTTGATCTTTGCCTTTCGTATATTTGTACATGCCTTGCCCGTTTTTCTCATGGTTCTAGTGACCGGTCATACAAAAAAATCTTTTTTTTTTTTTTTTTCGGCTATTCTCCCCTTTCTGATGTCTTCTATTTTGTTGAACTTGCTCTCTTATGCTGCTGAATGTTCTGCTAGTATTGCTCCAGATTACTGTATTATGCTCATATCTTTTTTTAAAAAGTAACGCGTATTTAAAGTAATCTGTCACCAATATTTTTTAGTGAAATCACATTACAAATTACTTCCGAAATAAAGTAATGTGGCAATTACAAAATTACTTGAAAAAGTAACGGATTACTTCCCAAGTCTAGCCGCAGCCATCTTAGCCCGCACCGCCGACAAACAGAGCCCGCGAATACGTAGAGTATGGCAAACAGCACACACCCAGAATGCGCCCCGTTCTCATATTTAACAAAAATAAATAATGAAATTTAAAAAAAAAAAGAATATTGATAACTTTTTGATATTTTGATTTTTGATAACTCATTTTTTGGTCTAAATCTGTTCAAAGGAGCAGCATCACATCGAGCATACCAATATCTTGTTAAAAAAGTCACGAAAAGGAATTTTAAAACGAATTAAACGATTAGCAAAAAGCAAAGTCCACTGGTCCATCCAGAGCTGTTGGAGAAGTAGGGGAAAGTGATGGGAGAGGGGAATATTGCCCTGCCCTTTCATTGAATTGTTTACTGGAAACTGGAAACGCCTGGTGGATGTCGCTAACGTCTCGCTTGTAATGCCCGTCTAGGAACCTTGACAGCTAGTGACGGAGGTTGTCTCGCCTCCGGCCACGACGAGAGAAGAGGGGAAGGAGGAACTCCCCTCTTCCCGAGAATGCCTTTTGTGTGTCGCAGAAGTCGCTATCCCCCTAAAGGATTACAGAAGATTAACCCGTCACTCAAAATTTGTACAAAAGCAGCCGCTTCGGTGGCTGGAACGACTAGGCCATCCTCTCGACGTCAGCCTCGCCGTAGCTTTGCTCGTCCTGAGACGACCTACGTCACGATTGCGTTGAATGTCCCGTGGTCTCCGCTGGGCCTTCTCCGAGCGCTTGCCAGAGTGGGCCGTTTGTAACAAAAAATACAGCCACCAGGCTCAAAATACAAACGTGCGATTGTCATTTACGGATATTGTGGATCGTATTCAACCTATTTTTGAACACGATGGGAATATTTCAAATTTCATTCAAGTATCCCTTTAAAGCTCTAAATTTGGGCGGAGAATGAGCATTCGCGATCCGTCGTTTATTTTTGCGGCGAGAAGTACATGTTTTTTTTTTCTTTCTCTCAAACATTTATCAATTCAAACGCTTTCGTGAAGAGTATACTGAAACTCAAATAAGGCGTATAGGAGCCGAACGAATGCAAACAATTTACGACACCAGTCGCAGCGGCTCGCGGGAATCTCGATGAACGAGAACCGTTCCACATAACGCGACTCTTTGGAAGAACGCGTGCGCGACACCGAACAGACAAAAAGAAAGACGAG